TTATTTTATCTTGCTTAATGTTTGCAACAGGTGAGCCAGTGCAAATTTTCTGTGGATAATTTATTTTGTTAAACTACATAAATGCCATTCTGTACCATATCCCAACTGTTACAATAAAACATCATTTGAGCAATGTAACATGCATTTTTATTCAGTATATAGGCAATATTTTGCTTTTTATGTTGAAGACACTATTGATACAGTGAGAAATGTACATTCTCAGGAAAATAGCCGCTTATCAGTTAATCGTTAATCGATCGATAAGGTCAATCAATTAATGATTAATGAATTAATCGATAATTTGCATCCCTATTATAACGTTAGTTATCAGATGTTTACCTCAGGAATTGATTTAACAAAGCGGATTCCATCATTTGCTCCCTTGATTTTGGCCAGGCAGTCGCTGAAATACTCCCAGTAGTCTTTTCTGGACCCCAGGAATGTTGTTTTCTCCTTCTGGTCAAACTGAGCAAAATAATAATAGCAAAACACTTAATAAATGACTGAGAAACACTTCAAAAACAGACTCAAAGAAGTTGAAATGGAAAAATTTAGCTCGACCCACATGGGCCGCTTCACACCTGGGTTTAACATCAGTTGTTGGTGATCAGATCCCAAGTGATCAGGAGAAAAAAAATGGCTATTTACACCTGATATTAACATGCATCACCTGGGATCACTTGTGTTTGGGTTTAATTAAAGTGAGAGTTTCTGATTGCATGACGGCATGCTGCACCAGAAAGTCACACTTTTGGTGCCAACTTGACTTCAATCTCACTAAAAAGCATAATTTCAGTGCACAATTCTGCAAACTGTACAATTATGACTGACGTTTGTCTTTGTTTTTTTATCCGCACATAACAGTAATGTTCTAAACCCTTATTTTAGCACAATGATTGATTGGCAGGGGAGTGTGTGGTCCTTTTTGTTGATTTGAGCTGAATGATGACACCACTGTTATTTGCAGAGCTGCTTTATAGCAAATTTGACATATTTTGCAACATCGACACTTACAGCACTGAACGTAATCAACATTGAACTGACTCTGAATAACGGTAGCATTGTCTTCTGGTAAGGCTACTTATAGCTGAATTGTACTTACACAGTTATGGAACTTAAAGGAACAGTTCACCCAAAAATTAAAATTACCCCCTAATTCATTATTTAAAGCCCCAAAAAAGCATGTCTAATCTTGATAAATTGCCATCCTAGATGTATATGACTTTCTTATTTTTTCCTGAAGAAAATCACAATAATATTAAATAATATCCTGGCTCTTCTTAGCTTTATAATGGCATTGAATAGTTTTGAAGCTCCAACAGGCGCATCAATCCAACATGAAAGTTTTCCAGTGGAATAATAAAGGCCTTCTGAAGTGAAACGATGCATTACTATAAGATACAATTCTAAAACATTATAAACTATATTTACAGGCTTCCGGCAATGGATGTACACGCGTTCATGAGAGAGTTGAGTGTGGAAGGGTGACCTCTGACGTATGACGTTCATGTGGTATGTTTTTGTACTGTACTGATCTGTCTAACTAAAATATATTTTTGGTTAAAAGGATGAGGATGAAAGAGGAAGAGAGGAAATGGCTGAATTAAAGGATTTTGTTTGAATAAGAAATGAATGTATGATCCAAATTGTGTTTTATATATATATATATATATATATATATATATTAGGGCTGTGCAAAAATTAATCGCATCCAAAATAAAAGTCTGTGTTTACATTAAATATTTGTGTGTGCTGTATATAATTATTTTGTATATATAAATACCTATGCATGCATGTATATATTTAAGAATTATTCACGCTTAAATTCTGTATATATATATATATATATATATATATAAATACATAATCTAAATTATATAAATATAAATATTTTATAAATGAATAACATATTTTCTTAAATATATACATGCATGTGTGTGTATTTATATATACAAAATAATTATATACAGCACACACAAAAATATTATGTAAACACAGACTTTTATTTTGGATGCGATTAATCTCAATTAATTTTTGCACAGCCATAATATATATAACACAATTTGGATTGTGACGTAGTTAATATGTTTTATTTATTTAATTATTTTCGGCAAGTAGAACCCTGGCGCTATATAAATAAAGGTGACTTGATTTGACTTGAACAAGAGGATGCAAGAGATTTTAGACAACAAGGGCCAGATTTAAGCCAAATAAGCAACTGGTTTAACACATGAGTAAATAAGGGTGCAAATACCAGTAAACTGACAAGCGCAAACCCTAGTAAATCAACTTTCAGGATTCATTTAAATACTATACTTCCATAAATTCTGCATCTGAAAGGGAAACTCCCACAACTGCATACAATATGGTCAGCCACAAAAATAACTGTCCACCCCTTTTCAGTTTCAGCGTGAATTTTTCCCTGTGTGTCTTTAGTAAATCCTGACAGTTTTTTAACAACGCTGGCACAAACTGTAAGTAAATCTGGCCCCAAATGCTATGTGGCCTCATACACTAGTTCGGACTACTTTGAGCGATGGGTTAGGGAGCTTGTTTATGTCTCTGACCTGAAGTAGGTACTCCAGTTTGTAGGAAAACTTGTGCAGGTTGGAGCTGTCATCTGTAATAGGCTCGCCATTCTCTTTATACTCCTTTGCCAGTTCTGACACAGCATCTATAAGAAAAGACCATTTAACAAGAATGACGTAGAATGTTAAAACAATTACAGAGCAATACACTGTAACTAACAAAGATCACAAACAACAAAACCCCCATTTTACAAAGTTTGAAGAACAGTTTTTTCTCCTTCTTAATTCCCTTTTGGTTATATTTACTCCACGCGCCTTTCATCCACCTCAGGAACTGAAACGGCACACATGAGGGATGAACTCTGATACTCAGGTCTCTCTCGTTTTGCATTTCTCTCCCCGTGTTGAAAGCCAGCGCCCCGTAAATTGCACGTGCTCCACCATGGACCACCGTTTTACTCTCTAAACAATAGCTCTGCCTCTTTCATGAAGGCAAACACACATCCGTACCGTGCAGATCTCTGATAATCCTTTGGATCTGACCCTCCCCGACTGCAGCACCAGCGGCCATGGTCTGACTAGCTTCCTGACAACGGGTTCAAGGGGTCATCTGTAGTCCGCTGAGTAAAAGAAACACAGTGACAAAGGATAACTAGCATTTGACATGCACGTTATATTTATTTAAGCATGATATATCGATCATATCTGTGGTGTTTAAGAAGTCAAGCATCACTAACGTTACTAGTGTGGTCATACTGTTGACGGCTAAAGCTGTAGGATACACATAATTGTTGTTAATGTCAAAATTTATGTTATTAAAATAAAAAAATGTACAATATTGTGAACTGATAGCAATCAAAAGGTGTGTCTAGTTTACAGCATATAATAAAAATGGCACAGTTAACCGATGACATTGACATTTACCAAACATATTTGTAACCAAAAGTGTAAGTTATCACTTTTTTTGTGTGAACTCAATCACGTTCAGTTGACTACAAAAAGTCAAATGGAGAGATAAATTATTAATCAACTGTACAAATATTTAATATAGTCTCTCAATTAGTTTGAGATTAAATTAATTTGAGATTATTTTATTCTAATTATGAGTATGTAATATGAAATGTACAACATCGAAAGAAGTAAACTTCACTGTAAACGTTTAAATACAGAGGCATCTATCAGCTGACCTGAATATAAAGTTTATGGTGAACTATATAAATATAAAAGGGTCAAGTTTGTCATACAAAGCTTTTCAATAAAGGAACTATCACAAGCTAAAAACAACTTAAAACATATGTCAAAAATACTTCTCTAATCTATATATTAACAGCTGATTTAAATAGAAATTTGGTTGAAGATTCTGAGGAATAACAGCAATTACCAAACTTTCCAGACATTTAAACTTAGACAGTGTGTGTGTGTGTGTGTGTGTGTGTGTGTCTGTGTGTTTGCTACGTATGACTAAACAGAATTGTAAATTCAATTATTTTAGGAAGGTGACGATATTTATATGGTTACAAAATCCTCACACAAGAAATGTACCCCCTCAGAGTGGATTAGATAAAAGGCCTTCCTTCCAGAGCAACAATAACATGTATATTTACTTTAATAAAGTATTGTGCGATTATACAATAACAACAACACTAGAAGCAACTGCTTTTGAAATGTAAACAAACATCAGTGTTCGCGTTCTTTCGTTCTTTTTTTAACTTAAACCGTATTGTTTTGATTCAAATCAAAGGACTTTGGAACAGCGTCTTTTGTTGTCATAGAAACGAGACATTTAAAAAAAAAAACGAACATAAGTTTAAAAAGTTTAGTCAACAATTCCAAGGCATCGCGTCAACGGCCAGTCACGCGCGTATGATATGTCAGAACATTTATTCCGAGTAAAAGCTGCTTCCGACTGAAGTCAACCTATATGCATTACAGCTGAAGTTAGGTAAATCTGTGATGAAAGTCTTGAAAGTGATAAAAGAAGCTGACATACTTGGGCTTTTGTGAGAATCCGGGAAGATCATATCCACTTGTTATTATAATAGAACCTAGCATGCTAGTCTTTAGATTGATAGAACTTTCCGCCACTGAGAATGGGATTCAGAGCCGAGGTCGTTTTTGATTGGACCACTGACTATAGCCCCGCCCACAGGTTTGGTTAAATCGTCGTAGAAAAGTGTTTAAAAAACTAAAAGCAGATTAATCATAAATATAAACAGATTCATTATAATATAACATTTATTTATTTTAAACAAGCTAATTCCCACGAAAAGCTCTTATATATATATATATATATATATATATATATATATATATATATATATATATATATATATATATATATATTTAATTTTAGTTTTATTATATAATTCAATATAATATGTTTGTGAAATTTGAATGAAAAAAGTTTCTGTACATTTTTTTTAAAGAGGAAGTCTCCCCATCAGTAACCTATAAATTCTGGAAAGGTAAACCTCTTCCACATTTGATCTGCTCAGCTGTCTTGACGATATAACACAAAAATAAAGGGGACAAAGCTTTTATTTCCTATCAAATAAATTCCAGTTAGTTGGAGAAGAGCAGGTAAGGACTAAATGTCAGGCTGTATATTTTCTCACTGGAATAAATTTAGCTAAACTGATTCATTTGATTTTTGTTTTCTTTTGTCCTAATGAAAAGACATATTTTATTAATGTTTGAGTGTATTTTCCTCAGAAAACAGTAAAGAACGGAACCTGGTCAAATCTGATCTGACTGAAGAAGTTTGTGATGTTGCACAACAACATGACTGAAGAGGAAACTATGGACCCTGACTACTACAATACAGACTACCCAAACCAGTTGTGTGAAAAAGATAAAGTGGTGGAAGTTGGATCCATTATTATTCCAATCTTCTTCGCATTAGTGGTCGTGTTAAGCTGCATTGGTAACATCCTTGTTCTGGTCATTCTGGCACTTTATGAGAGTCTCAAGTCTCTGACCAACGTGTTCATCCTCAATTTGGCTCTGTCAGATCTGCTGTTCACTTTTGGACTTCCATTCTGGACCTCGTACTTCGTCTGGGGTTGGACGTTTGGAGAGATTGCCTGTAAAGCGGTGAAGTTTCTGTTCTATGTTGGCTTTTACAGCAGCGTGTTGTTCTTAACTCTCATGACCATTCAGCGTTACATGGCAGTGGTTCATCCTCTGTCTGACTGGGAGAAATGCAGAGGCTTTTCAGTCGCTCCCTTCTTTGTTTGGATCCTGAGCGGAGGGATTTCACTGCTCGGATCATTAAATAGCACGGTTATAACAGATTCAAATACCGGTAGTTTATACTGTGAATATAGCAGTGTTAAGATTAAATCTAGCATTGCTTATTTTCAAAATGCTTTTTTCTTCTTTGCATTTCTAATCATGGGTTTTTGCTATGGCAGAATGCTTAGGACAATAACAAAATCTCGGACCAATAAGAGACACAAGACTGTTAGACTAATATTCTGCATTGCACTGGTGTTCTTTATTGGTTGGGCCCCATATAACATTGTTATGTTCTTAAAATCATTGACAGATCAGAATTTCTATCAATTCAAAGACTGTCCAGAAAGCATTAGACTCGACTATGCATATCATGCTTGCAGAATGTTAGCTTTTACACACTGTTGCTTGAACCCTGTGTTTTACGTTTTTATTGGCGTAAAGTTCAGGAATCATCTAAAAGTGATCCTGCAGAAGATCTTTAAAAAAAAAAAAAAACTCGATTTCAGTCAAGCCAGATTGGCAAAAAACGTATCGCAGGGTTCAATGTACTAAGAGAAAACTCAAGTACTTTTAGCGAATGCAATGAACCAACAATGAGTTCTAAGATGCTGTGAATGTGTGAATGATGTACATGATATTGTAACAGGAGATGGCTGCCATGGTGCGGATGCCATAGAAGAACCACTTTCAGTTCCCCAAAATACCTTTCAGTGATCAAGAACCTATTTCTCTTAGTCTGAAGATTGTTTTTATAACATAAAGAACCTTTTTTCCATTATAAAGAACCTTTCAATGGAAAGGTTCCATTGATGTTAAAGGTTCGTCATGGAACCGATAAAAAAAATGTGTATGTGTGTGTGTGTGTGTGTGTGTGTGTAAGAGTGTAAAGATTCATTGCACAGCTACTGCCAAAATGTTGCCACATTGCAGGAAAATTCCTCTCTATCAAGCAGCAAAAGCATTCAGTTTTGAGAAATCATGTTTAAAATTCTCTGTTCTTCCTTTTTGTGGTTGAAGTTCTCATTTAATTCAAGGTCTTATAAAAATATTGGAACTGGAAACGTAATTGAAGTCATTAATGCAGAAAATATTTTCACATGAAATTTGAATATATCTATATATACCTTTTATTTACTGTATTTGCTTACATCTTTCTTTACTGTATTTGTGTTTACATTACATTATTTCTTTCATGTTTTTGTCACTGCTTGTATGGTGTAAATTAAATGAACAATGTACAGTAAAAGTACAGAATTATAAAGCATGAATCCAGTTTGTGAATCTTTGTTGCATCTGCCCCTCACTCTTAAAAATAAAAGTCCTTTATAGGCATCTATAGTGACATGAACCTTTCCATTACACAAAAGATTCTTTGTAGTGGTAACATATTTTTAGACTTTTAGACTGTTATTAACAACCGTAAAAAAAATTGTCCAAAAACAGTTCACTGAAAGGTTCTATGAGGAACCAAAATGGTCTTCTTTTGGTAAAATTCCATTTTGGAACCTTTATTTAAAAAGTGTGGTCAGTTACAAAAAAATAAAAATATTTTCTGCAGTTTCAATATGGACACTTATTATTTATCAGTGGAACGAACCATTTTCACATGTAGCAGGACAAATTGACAGTCAGAAAGTGAATTACTCTCAAATTATGCAAAATAATATGCAACACGTTTCACATCCACACACAGGTTCATTACCTCAAATTATGTATTTTAAACATGTTGTTTCTCTTCACCAGCAAAGAAATAATACTGTTAGTTTCGCGGATTGGTTCCACAACAAAACAAATAGTGGTTCTGTTACCAGCAGTCTTACAAAAATAAAATGAAACCCTCTGGCACAGAACTATACAAAAGCAACATACACCAAACTTAACATTAAAGACAGACAAACTGAACAGAGGGTTTTAATACAAAGACCAAACAAAGGAGCTACCCACATAGCAAACAGACTTGGCCCAAATGTGGCCTCATCATGGCACTGCTGGCGTGTTGCCGGCAATGGCATGCATCATGTCAGCCAACTGTGGGCCAAGTGTGGCAATGATGGCACTGCGTGCATGACGGCAGACAACTTCTGGGCCGATTGTGGATGGGAGGTGTGTGGCCCACATCTTCTCAGCCAACTGTGGGCCAAGTGTGGCAATGATGGCAGTGCATGACGGCAGACAACTTTTGGGCCGATTGTGGATGGGAGGTATGTGGCCCAGATCAGTGTAGCGATTGTGGGCCATATTCTGTGTACTGGACAATTATAAGCCTGCTACTATATTTTCAAGGCAAGATTACCCCACCCCGACCCCTCTGAAAAAGGTGTTAATTTTAATAATAAATAATAATAATATAAATTGACTTAAATGAGTCAGTGAAAAAATATATGTCCAATTGTTTAAAAAATGATTAATAATGAATAAATATAGTATTTAGTTTTCAGCAATGTTTACAAAATGCTGTATCATTAAAAAATATACATTTACTAACATGATAAGTATTAGACCTATGATTTTTTTAAGTATTAAACCTATTATTTATTTGAATTTGTTTTTTTTTATAAATTTGTAATAAAAAAAACAAAACAAAAAACAAAACAAAAAAAACAAATCCACATCCAAGTCTAAGTTTTCCATACTTTTTATTTTAAGCACCACAAAATCATGTTAAAAATGTAATATCTGGATTTTTTTTCGAAATAACAGTTTATTTAAAACAGCAGTCAACTATTGTTTTATTTCGGCGCGATCTCCATGGTAACAGCAGCTTTTCTGGTTGGTTCACGTGATGCGTCTTTTGAAATTTCTCCCGCTGAAGATTGAAGAAGAAGACGACATCTCAGACAACCGCTGTACGGGTAAGTGAAGTTCACTCTCTTTTTGGCGCTTTTTTAATACCTGATTTCAAACTCGGATGCACTTTTTTCTTTATTGAAGTGAACTTTTGCCTGGTAGCTGATTCAGTTGCCCCTGAACATGAGAATGCCTATACAGACGCGAACGGGGTGCGATCATGTGCGATAGACCGGTGCGGAACGTCCTAGGCGAGGCGTGGTGCTTCATGTGTGCGAAACAATGTAATGTTAATGCTTTTAAAATTATAGGAAGATCACAGCAAATCCAGCAACCGCAATTGACTTATAAAGCTGAAAGTGATTCAGTGGTTGAATAATTGTATGAGATCTAAATCTAATCGTGGCTTGTTTCACATGAACAGTACATGTTTTTTTATTTGTGATCACAGACTGCTTATTTATTTTTGCTTGTCATGTATTGCTTGTCATTTCAGTATGCTATATTCGTAGGCGATTGAGAGAAAATAATAATACTGTACTATTAAAATATCTACATTGAAAGAATTAAATTGAACACATAATTTTTAATTTTTGTCTAAAACAATAGTTCTCAACCTGGGTAATGTTTAGAGGTTAATTTAAATGCAATAAACAATTGGCAACTTTTCAATTTGCTAACCATTGACGCTTGCCAATGTTTTTCTTCCAACATATTGGGCATTATAAGGAATGAACGACTCTATAAAGTTGTCTTTTTCCCCTCCTTTCATATTGTTTAATTTTTGATGATATGTAAGTTGCTCCCCCATTCCTGTCTGTTTGTTTAAGTGGATGTTATTTTATTTCTAAAGACTATAAGGAGTTGAAACTCTGGCCTAAGGCACTCACTTTCCATGATCTAACAAGATGATTAATACAAATGAGTTTTAGAGCTACATTAGTATCCTATATTGGTAAATTTGGAATAGTTGATGCATTTTCAATGTTAATTTTTTTTTTTTTTTTTTTTTTTTTTTTTACAGGACTGGTTGGGCAAGAAAACTTGACAGACTGTTGGTATGGCTGGTAATTGGAGTTACAATGAGAGGAGCAATGTGAGAAGAAGGGCTTTTACAGGTTGTAATAAGATGTTACACTTGGAATGTACAAAATAAAATAGCCTTCACACTGTTACACAATTCTAGGTGTAATATTTATTTGTGGTATTATTGTTAAATAAAATTTAAATTTAATAAAATATAGAATTTTTCTGTGACTTATTTGTTCACATGGTTTGGGTAAGGTTAGGGTGGGATATGGTTCAGTTTGGGGGTTTGAAAGGGTGGTATTGAAATGGTTAACTTAGAATTGGTACCAATAATAAAACCAGTTTTGGCCCAGTTCAGGGCTAGTTAAGGGTGATTAACTGGCTGAGATTCGGGCCAGTTATGGCCCATGTGTGACCCTTGTCTTTAATCCAGTTCTGGGCCACTTCAGCGCCGTCATTCTTTGCGGTACTTGGGCCGAGGATTGGGTTCACATGGTTTGGGTAAGATTAGGCTGGGTTATGGCTCAGTTTTGGGGTTTCTGGTTAAAGGGTGGTGTCGATATGGTTAACGTATGGCTGAGAATTGGTACCAATAATAAAACCTGTTTTGGCCCAATTCAGGGCCAGTTAAGGGTGATTAACTGGCTGAGATTCGGGCCAGTTATGGCCCATGTGTGACCCTTGTCTATAATCCAGTTCTGGGCCACCTCAGCGCCGTCATTCTTTGCGGTACTTGGGCCGAGGATTGGGTTCATATGGTTTGGGTAAGATTAGGCTGGGTTATGGCTCAGTTTTGGGGTTTCTGGTTAAAGAGTGGTGTCGATATGGTTAACTTATGGCTGAGAATTGGTACAAATAATAAAACCTGTCTTGGCCCAGTTCAGGGCCAGTTAAGGGTGATTAACTGGCTGAGATTCGGGCCAGTTATGGCCCATGTGTGACCCTTGTCTATAATCCAGTTCTGGGCCACTTCAGTACCGTCATTCTTTGCGGTATTTGGGCCGAGGGAAAAGTGATTGTGTGGGCCGGAGCTGGGCCAGAAAAATTTTGCTATGTGGGTAAATGAAACACAGATGAACACAATGGGTTGCTACGAAAGTCTTGAAAGTGATAAAAACGTCCCAATTACTCCCCCTCACAAAGGTGCCTCCAGATGCCGTAAAACAACAACAACAAAACAACAAGGTATTGTTGGCAGGAAGGAGAAAACAGAAGACTAAATCTACTAAATCTCTGTATACTATATACTATATAATCTGTATACTAAACCTCTGTACCAATTGCTAAATAGGCAGATACATTAGGGGAGGATGTAGCCTATGTTGTGAAATCTATTGTAGTATCTTCACTATAAATCAGACTACTACATGAATAGAGTTAAAGTTAATAATATACTTTGTTTTTGCAACAGACATAGCCTACACTCTCCATGGCATGCCTCCCGCATGGCACATCTTCTTCAACTGACTTTTTCAGGATGGAACACAACACTTGCAATACAATGACACCTAGTGGTTACTAGAGGATACTACATTCCGCTGTTCGCCAGCTGCATCTTGTTTGTTTTCAAGTATCAAGGAAGTCACCTATGGAAATCACGGCGCAGAACCGTCACACAACTCTGCCGTCATTGAGTTAAGCCCGCCCACCAACTCTATACACGATGTGATTGGCCTGACCAGAGTTTGGTTTTTCCACTTCGAAAGCCAACGGAGGGTTGCTAGACCTGTGATGGTACGGCAACACTTGAGGCTCTACCTTCTCAGGCCAACCCTTTAATATGTACTCATATACCGTGGAGAGTGTTATGTCGTGCGACGCCCACTTCTGAATTTGTGTTGCACTTACAGGCGAGTCATCCATTGAGTCCATAATCAGCACCTGATCATTAATGTCATCAGGTTCTAGCACTGGGAGTCTACTGGGAGCATCAGCATTTTGGTGGCACTTTCCTGGATTGTACGCAATGTTGTACTGATATGCTTGTAACATCACAGCCCACCTTTGCACTCTGGGCGATCCCATTCGAGGAACTGCCTTCGTTTCATTGAACAAATGGATCAAGGGCTTATGATCAGTGCAAATTGTGAATGCATGAGACATGGGACCGGGTCCTGGCCGAGAGAGGGAGATGGTCCTCACTGCGGAACATGAAATCCATGGGGAGGAGTCGGATCCAGATCCAACTCCTCCCACCTTACATACACCTAAACCTACCCAACTCCGCCCCCTGATCCATAAACCCACCCCTAATCCCTAAACCCAACCCTAATCCTACCCATCTCCACCCCTTGGATGGTGATCCGACTCCTCCCCGTGAATCTCATGTTCTGCATTGAGGTGCTACTGGAGAGTTGGGAGTCAGTTGGGAGCCTGCTCAGGGGGATCTAGAGGCGGTGGCGAAGACGGCCGGCTTCTTCAGGCGCCGTCCAGGCTCGCTAGATGCCTCTCAATGGCGACGTGGCTTCTGCTGACCCATAGACAGTAAAAGAAATGGACAGAGCGATCTCATTGGAACTCCATTGAGACGATTGAAGCCTGTTTTTGGTGATTTTTTAGCACTTCCGTCCCTGACGCGCAGACTCAAACAGAGCTTGACTACGTAATGTGATGAGAGCAACCTGTCTGTCTTCTAGTGCCGTGGCATGAGAAATCTGAATCATTCCCTTCCGAAACATGCAGAGGCGGAGAGTGTGTTGAGTGTGTCCATGAGCTAGGAGCAGGAGACACTTTTGCTAGGTATTCTGATTCATTATTTTGCCTTCACGTTTCACCGATTGCGAACGAGCTTCTCCTCCTGTACATACGGTAATCTCTCTCCTGTGCGAGAGAGAGTCGCGTGGGTATGACGCAATCGTTAGCCTACTTTCACTAAAACTGCTTCTACGGGGCCATAACATAAGCTACAAGGTAATGGAGCTATTTATACACTGTCATGTTTCTTTAGAAATAAATAAAGGACAAATGGGGTCTTCAAACGCCTCAGATGTAAAGTTATTCGCTGTCAAAATGACGCCAAAATGAATGGGAGTCAATGGGAATGCTAACGCAAGTGAAGTTCTGCTACAAGATGTCAGCTCCCGCGAGGCTTCAACTTCCGGTCGATGGATTACCCACTTGTGCTGACCACACGACTCTGTCACACAGTACATAAATTACGGTATAGACAGGAGGAGAAGCTCGTATCAATCAGGGGGACGTGGAGGCATAAAGTCAAGGGAGAAGCCCGTAGAGATTCATAAAGTTGATCCTACCGCTCATGGACAGCTAATACTCACGCTCTCCGTCTCTGAAAGATTCGGAAGGGAATGATTCAGATTCCTCTTGGCACAGCTACTAGAAGACATACAACTGTCAGACAGGTTGCTCACGTCACGTCTACGTCATCAAGCTTAGTTTGAGTCTGCACAGTGCGCTCAGCCATCAGGCAGTGAGTGCTTAATTGGCTTCACTTTTCTCCGTTGAAATCTATGGGGTCACTGTGTCCATTTCTTTTACTGTCTATGCTTTTAAGCCTGCATCGGATATCTCACTATGTTCTGAGGGTTGATTTTAAGGGAAGAATAGCACTCACCCTTGCTAAGTTGCCCCTATAATGTTTTGGGACACCCACGAAAACGCACGAAAATGGGGTTTAGGGCAAAAATCTAGGGGAAGGGAAGGTATTGGGACAGGTCCTACTCCTAAGTCCACTTTTTTTTATTCTCTTCTCTTGCTAACTTCCCTCCATCTCATTCACTTGTTCACTCAGATGAAAATCAAGGGTGGGGGATTTTTATTCATTTTGGTGGTCGGGGGCAGACTCTTTTTTTTTTAGCTCAAGCAGAGCTTATGTTATGAGGCCTGTTTCAAGTGAATAGCATAGGCCTGAGCAGGACATACTGACAGTCAGATTGGTGTATTGGCCTCCAGTGTCACGAATAGTCTCAACAAAACTAAGAAACAAGTTTTACATCCACAAAGGTTTATATCCGCATAAAATCTGTGACAAAGTTTACTGAAGATGTTATTTCTGTTTTCTTGATCTGAATATTAAGCAAACAATATAATGTGATGCTTTAACTAAAGGAAAATGAAGTCACAAACCAAATGATTGCAAAATTGTATTTCTTGGAAAATTTGAGCAGAGCGTGTGACTTTTCTGAACTCTCTTATAAAGTTCAATGAGATTCAACTTGATTTGTTTAAGTCAGTTTAATATAATTTAAGTTGAAATGACTTGAACAACCCAATTTGATTATCCACAAGTTTCCGAGGGGCGCTCCTGTAAAAAAAAAGTGGGTGAAACTTCCGGTGACGTGGCGGAAGTAGCATTCCAATGGTATTTTGTGTGTTAGTTAGCGAAGAGGCTAGCTGTTTTTCGGAGAATTATTTTACTATTTAAAGACGCAAATCTTTATGAGAGATGTCGTTACGGAGCTCAGGGACAACATGTGCTGTTCGTGGTTGTATGTATAACCGGACTAAACTAATTTAGTGGCTTAAACGGGATTGTTTTGAACATAAGCTGAAAACGAAATCAGAGTGATCCTGCCAACGACTGTAGTTTCCATCACCTCCCAAAAGACGACGAATCTTCCTGTGTACATTTGTTTAAATTCTTAATGTTCTATAAACTCTATCAGCATGTGATTGGCTGTTCTCTACTGATGTTACACCTAAACTCAGGATCAAAGCCTGTGTTGACAGAATACCAAATGTGCCAGTTAATGTATTCAAGCAGCACATTCACAACTGTCTGTCACCATGCCTTGATGATGAGTATTGATTATTAATAATGTTATTATAATACTCCCAATCAACTACTGCGAACGGTAAAGGTACTGTTATTTCACCCTTTTTAATTTCGTTGAGGTTGTGTTCCCACATCGTTAGCTAGTTTGGATCGCTATAACTTGAATGACTGTCAACTGTTGAATGAACGAGTGTCAAGCATGTCAAATCGCGCTTTGTTTACTTCTAACCGGAAGTCGCGCCCACTTTTGACGCAAGGCCTCATGGGGCGTAGGAAACTTGTGGATACTTTAAAAAATTGATGTGGCAACTGACTTTTAAGTTTAGAAGTTGGAAATCTTACAGTGTACATCACTTCAGTGATTTACATTTCCTATGGTATCTGTTGCATCTGTCATTACGGGTTCAAGCTGAAAGGTTACTTCAGATGTAAAGATCACAAAGCCACTTGAGCTTCCTCTGTGTACATGAGATGAAAGGATCTACAGTAGAGGCGGAGGTTTGAGGGAGGATGTATGTCAACAACAGAACAATCGTCCTACTCTTTTTAATACTCTGATTAAAAACAGTACATTCTTCTAACTTGGTTATTTTAGGTGATCTAATGAACATTTCACATCACAATCATCACATGATGATATGCACGTCTTGAGAAAACAGCAACTGCTTCATGTGACCATGGATGTACAAAGTTCATGAAATTCCAGTAAATTTGATACTAGAGATTGTTGTGGTCATCTGTAGCGGTCGGTGTGCTGTTCTGATCATCATTGTGCACTACAAGGTCCAAATCATCAAGAATTCCGGTAAGTCATGCATCGTTTAACATTTGACTCGGTTACTCGAGTTAAACTGACTTGCATATCTTTTTCCCCTTATGAAAATGCAGAGATTGCATTAATGACTCTTCATACACATCCTCTACTGTAAAAAAAAAAGATCAAAGAAGAAGTTATTTGTAATTATTTTTAAAAGATTTACATAAAATTTCTCGAGTAAAAATTGTTTCAAAGTATTTTTTTTATTTATTTTCAGCATACAACGGGCAAAAACAAAATCATCAACCTTGACAAATAGTATCAGTTTGTGATTGCAGAATGAACATTACTGATGAGAATACAATGGACAGTGACTACTATGACTTGGACTATGAAGACCAGATGTGTCTCAAAGATGAAGTGGTGAAAGTTGGATCCATGCTCATTCCGCTTTTCTTCGCATTAGTGGTTGTGTTAAGCTGCATTGGTAACATCCTTGTTCTGGTCATTCTGGCGCTCTACAAGAACATCAAATCCCTGACCAAAGTGTTCGTCCTCAATTTGGCTCTGTCAAATTTGCTGTTCACTTTTGGACTTCCATTCTGGGCCTCGTACTTCGTCTGGGGTTGGACGTTTGGAGAGATTGGCTGTAAAGCGGTGAAGTTTCTGTTCTATGTTGGCTTTTACAGCAGCGTGTTGTTCTTAACTCTCATGACCATTCAGCGTTACATGGCAGTGGTTCATCCTCTGTCTGACTGGGAGAAATGCAGAGGCTTTTCAGTCGCTCCCTTCATCGTTTGGATCCTGAGCGGAGGGCTTTCACTGCTCGGATCATTTAATAGCACGGTTATACCACATTTAAATAGTACATACTGTGAATATGGCAGTGTTGAAATTAAATCTGGCATTGCTTATTTTCAAAATGCTTTCTTTTGCATTGCATTTCTAATCATGGGTTTTTGCTATGGCAGAATGCTTCAGACAATAACAAAAAAACAGGCCAAAAAGAGACACAAGACTGTAAGACTAACATTTGTTATTGTGCTCGTGTTTTTTATTGGTTGGGCCCCATATAACATTGTTATGTTCTTAAAATCATTGACAGATCAGAATATCCATCCATTCACAGACTGCACAGTAAGCATTAGACTCGACTATGCATATTATGCTTGCAGAATGTTAGCTTTTACACACTGTTGCTTAAACCCAGCCTTTTTATTATTTGTAGATACAAGGTTCTGTAATAACTTGCGAGCAATTCCAAGGAGGGTCATATGTAAAGATTTAAGTCTATGAATAATGCGCTTTGTTTTACTTGGCAAGATAATACTTGAATCGTCAGAAAAAAAGCATTGAAGAAGAATGAAGAATCTGGCTGCAGATTGGATCAAATCATTATCATCATGGAACATTAAACAGTGCTATTTTTGTGTACAAGCTAGTTTTGAGTTCATGCCAGCTTGAATACACACAAAAAATATGTTCTGAATAAAGTGTTTATGAATTTTTCAATTACTACCACGTGAAATTCCTGTAAAAGGAACCACATGAGAACTGTCTGTGAAAATGCAGATTACGCAGTTTAGTTTTTTTTTGCAATGAAATTAGTGACATTTTGTTCTTTCACGTGACAGAGTGTAAATGTGGTCTGTGGAAGGAAGCACAGCATCATCAATGACCTACATAAACAGGAAAATGGAAGATTTGAGATCATAAACTTTTTTTATGCATTTACTTGTTGATGTTAATAACAAAACAATATTGCAGTCTATACACTTTACATGAGATCCCTGTGACCATAATCATCTTCATATAAACAACATACTTCTACAACTTTTTAAATGAAAATAATCATGACATAAACGCATTTTTTATCAAATTTTTTTTTATCATCTATTTACTGACTTTAATCATCCATATTCAGTCCTGCCGTTGATTCAAAAGCAAGAGCTAGAACTATGCAGCCTTTGAATTGTGCCATTTACTTCTTAACTTGGAAATAAAGTGAATAATACGAACACCGTTAAAAACCAACAGTTTTGAAACGCCCATTAACTGGCAACTACCCTAAAATATGTTACTAAGGAATTGCTGCAACACAAAAAAAACATGTAACTTTCGTTGTGAAAATGATTCTTTCATTTCATGTTTGAGGTAAAGAGGAATGGCTAAGTTTTTAGGTTGACACATTTAACCCTCCCATTCATCATAATAACGCTCAAATATCCCCATCCAGTAGCCAGGAGTGCCAAAATTAAGGTAAGAGCTATTATTATTATAAGATAAGATTTTTCTTTATTCTATCTTGTATATTTTTTATTAGGCAAGTATACAACTACAATGAATTCTAACAACAAAATGAACATTATCACAAAGAACACCATGACTGAAGACTAAAGGTTTAGCCTATAGCAGCTAGCTATTGATCTCTATTGTAAATGATCACACAAACTCACCGTAGGGCGACAGTTTGTGTGAATGATTGTTTTCACCAAATGTTTGTATGTACATTTACAGCCTATTGACAACGTTGTCTAAATTTACTACGGAGCCGTTGTTTATGCTCACTGGAAAGCGCGAAGCTAACGTTATCTTGCTATGGGCTATATATGCACGCATAAATTCCGCATTTGACGCAAGGATGCTCGTCCATTTCCGGTTGTGGAGATTAAAGCGGAGGAAAACCGAGGAAAACGGGATTATGGCAGAGTCTTCAAAATTTACTGTCCTCCAGTCTTTGAAATGAAACGTACATACGTTTAGATGTAATTTTATATAGTTATATTTATTTAATATAATTTAAAAAAGAAGCATAAACACAACGAGGGGTGTCTGTTTTATCTGTTTTTGTGACTAACGTTTCTTTAGTATAAGCATGGAGTATAAAATTCAATATAAATTCTCGGTATCCACAAGTTTCCGAGGGGCGCTCCTGTAAAAAATAAAGTGGGTGAAACTTCCGGTGACGTGGCGGAAGTAGCATTCCAATGGTATTTTGTGTGTTAGTTAGCGAAGAGGCTAGCTGTTTTTCGGAGAATTATTTTACTATTTAAAGACGCAAATCTTTATGAGAGATGTCGTTACGGAGCTCAGGGACAACATGTGCTGTTCACGGTTGTATGTATAACCGGACTAAACTAATTTAGTGGCTTAAACGGGATTGTTTTGAACATAAGCTGAAAACGAAATCAGAGTGATCCTGCCAACGACTGTAGTTTCCATCACCTCCCAAAAGACGATGAATCTTCCTGTGTACATTTGTTTAAATTCTTAATATTTTATAAACTCTATCAGCATGTGATTGGCTGTTCGCTACTGATGTTACACCTAAACTCAGGATTAAAGCCTGTGTTGAAAGAATACCAAATGTGGCAGTAATGTATTCAAGCAGCACATTCATTTATAATTTTGAATAAACTCCAAAGCACAATGACTAAGTGTGTGTTTTTTATTTTAATTGTTTGTCAGCTCGCACAACTGTCTGTCACCATGCCTTGATGAGTATTGATAATTAATAATGTTATTATAATACTGCCAATCAACTACTGCGGAGGGTAAAGGTACTGTTATTTCACCCTTTTGAATTTCGTTGAGGTTGTGTTCCCACATCGTTAGCTAGTTTGGATCGCTATAACTTGAATGACTGTCAACTGTTGAATGAACGAGTATCAAGCATGTCAAATCGTGCTTTGTTTACTTCCAACCGGAAGTCGCGCCCACTTTTGACGCAAGGCCTCATGGGGCGTAGGAAACTTGTGGATTGCATTGGACCCTACGATCGGCGGAAGTTATCGAGCATCCCGAATGCTTCACCGGAAATACCGCCGTGCATAGAGCCCATTATTGCATCCTAGTAGCCCGTAAAGGCCAATTTATACTTCTGCGTCGAGGGTACGCCGTAGTGTACGGCGTTGGCTACGCACGTAGGCGACACCGTTGTGAGCATTTATACTTCTGCGTTCAGGTCTTGGTTGCTCTGCAGTACTGCTCCGAAACGCTAGTTGGCGGCGGAGAGTTTTAATGTTCCACTGTGTTTAGATTCCTCGCGGCTAGGTTACTACGAGTGAAAGAGAGCTGATCATGTTGGAATTGGAGCTTATTAAGATGGAAAAACAGTTCACTTTAGTGAAATTACTAAAACTGAAAGGCAGAAATGAGAGAAGACTTCGGAGGAGATGAAACTTGTGGAAATCATAGACAGTGGTGGAAATGCGTGAGAAGGTACGTGCGGAAATGCGTAGGAGGAAATGCGATGCTACCAAGCCGACCAATCACCGATCTTGCGGTCCGCGTCGTCGCGACGTATAGTTACATTTTTGAGGAGGTGCGCGTCAGGCGACGGCGAAGGGTACGCGGTATGGGACGCGTCTGTGCGTATACTACGCCGTACCTACTGCGCGCACCCTACGCAGAAGTATAAAGGCCAATTTATACTTCTGCGTCGAGGGTACGCCGTAATGTGCGGCGTTGGCTACGCACGTAGGCGACGCCGTTATGAGCATTTATACTTCTGCGTTCAGGTCTTGGTTGCTCTGCAGTACTGCTCCGAAACGCTAGTTGGCGGCGGAGAGTTTTAATGTGTTTAGATTCCTCACGGCTAGGTTACTACAAGCAATAGCGATTGAAAGAGAGCTGATCATGTTGGAGTTGGAGCTTATTGAGGTGGAAAACATTTCACTTTAGTGAAATTACTAAAACTGAAAGGCAGAAATGAGAGAAGACGTCGGAGGAGATGAAACTTGTGGAAATCATAGACAGTGGTGGAAATGTGTGAGAAGGTACGTGCGGAAATGCGTAGGAGGAAATGCGATGATACCAAGCCGACCAATCACCGATCTTGCGGTCCGCGGCGTCACGACGTGTAGTTACATTTTTGAGGAGGTGCGCGTCAGGCGACGGCGAAGGGTACGCGGCATGGGACGCGTCTGTGCATATGCTACGCCGTACCTACTGCGCGCACCCTACGCAGAAGTATAAATTGGCCTTTAATTGGCCTTAACGCCAAAGTTGGCGGTTGTATGCACATGCCCCGCCCCTCCAGCTGGAAATCCAATCGTCTGCTTTTAACAGTCAAGCCGGGAAACATCTAAGCCTATCGTTTGGTTCTACTGACGCATGCGCATAGTTGATGTCTGCGACAGAGGAGACGAGAATCTTTGCGCATGCGTAGTAAACGCATAACCTGGGGGGAAAAGACCTTTTAAACCTTATTTTGGGGCAAAGTCATCAAACTTTTTCAGCGATTTTTATCATATTTTACTGCTGTTTCTATACATGCAGTTTTTATGTCCCGGTGACCAGTGAAAGTGCAGTTCTGACTCTGCCTATTCATTTCAAAATAGGAGCCTGGTCTTGTTAGTCCGAAATAGATGTTAGTCCAAGATGGCGGCTGAGTGGCACTACTTGCCTAAAAGGACTTTGGCAACACTCAGACGGTTTTACACCATTTATTTGAAAATTAAAACACTTCATACCCAAATGTTAAAAAATTTACTCGAATCAATGAACAGCATTTATGAAGCTCAATTCTTACAGATCATTAACTAAAAAAAGTTGTTTTAGTGTTTAGTTACCCTTTAAGCGAGAAAGTGCTGTTCGTCGTAAATGTGCTTTTTTAAAACTAAAAACAGACAAATTATAATATAAAGATTAATTATAATATATTTTATAATTTATCTGTTTTTAAAACAATTTTAAACAAGCACATTTCCAGCCAAACTACTCTCTCTCTCTCCCTCTATTTATATATATTTGATTATAATATAATATGTTTATGAAAATTGAGTGAACATTTCTTCTGTACTATTTTTATTTTTTTTAAAAGAAAGAGGAAGTTTCCCCATCAGTAACCTATAAATTCTGAAAAGGTAAACCTCTTCCACATTTGATCTGCTCAGCTGTCTTGACGACACAACACAAAAATAAAGGGGACAAAGCTTTTATTTCCTATCAACTAAGTTTGATTTAGTTGGAGAAGAGACAGTGGAAAGAGCAGGTAAGGACTAAACGTCATGATGTATTTAATATTTTCACACTGGAATAAATTTAGCTAAACTGATTCATGTGATTTTCTTCTGTTCTTTTGTCCTAATGAAAAGACATGAATATTTTATTAAAGTTTGAGTGTGTTTCCCTCAGAAAAAGAACGGAACCTGGACAAATCTGATCTGACTGAAGAAGTCGCTGATGTTGCAGAACAACATGACTGAAGAGGAAACTATGGACCCTGACTACTATGATACAGACTACGGAGACCAATTGTGTCGCAAAGACGAAGTGGTGAAAGTTGGATCCATTATTATTCCAGTCATTTTCTCATTAGTGGTCGTGTTAAGCTGCATTGGTAACATCCTTGTTCTGGTCATTCTGGCACTTTATGAGAGTCTCAAGTCTCTGACCAACGTGTTCATCCTCAATTTGGCTCTGTCAGATCTGCTGTTCACTTTTGGACTTCCATTCTGGACCTCGTACTTCGTCTGGGGTTGGACGTTTGGAGAGATTGGCTGTAAAGCGGTGAAGTTTCTGTTCTATGTTGGCTTTTACAGCAGCGTGTTGTTCTTAACTCTCATGACCATTCAGCGTTACATGGCAGTGGTTCATCCTCTGTCTGACTGGGAGAAATGCAGAGGCTTTTCAGTCGCTCCCTTCATCGTTTGGATCCTGAGCGGAGGGCTTTCACTGCTCGGATCATTTAATAGCACGGTTATACCACATTTAAATAGTACATACTGTGAATATGGCAGTGTTGGAATTAAATCTGGCATTGCTTATTTTCAAAATGCTTTTTTCTTCTTTGCATTTCTAATCATGGGTTTTTGCTATGGCAGAATGCTTCGGACAATAGCAAAATCTCGGACCAATAAGAAACACAAGACTGTTAGACTAATATTCTGCATTGCACTGGTGTTCTTTATTGGTTGGGCCCCGTATAACATTGTTATGTTCTTAAAATCATTGACAGATCAGAATATCCATCCATTCACAGACTGTACAGTAAGCATTAGACTCGACTATGCATATTATGCTTGCAGAATGTTAGCTTTTACACACTGTTGCTTGAACCCTGTGCTTTACGTTTTTATTGGCGTAAAGTTCAGGAATCATCTAAAATTGATCCTGCAGAAGATCTTTAAAAAAAAAAAAAAACTCGATTTCAGTCAAGCCAGATTGGCAAAAAACATATCGCAGGGTTCAATGTACTAAGAGAAAACTCAAGTACTTTTAGCGAATGCTATCAACCAACAATGAGTTCTAAAATGCTGTGAATGTGTGAATGATGTACATGCACTCTTAAAAATAAAGTTTCCAACATGAGATGCCATTGCACAGATGCCATAGAAGAACCACTTTCAGTTCCCCAACTTGCCCAAAATACCTTTCAGCGATCAGACTTACAAGAACCTATTTTTTATTATTCTGAAGAATATTTTAGGAACATAAAGAACCTTTTTTCTATTATAAAGAACATTTCAATGGAAAGGTTTCATTGATGTTAAAGGTTCTTCATGGAACTGATAAAAAAACTAATTTTTTTTAAGAGTGTATAGATTCATTGCACAGCTTCTGCCAATATCATTACAGCTGTTTAATATGCACGATTAAATTTCAAAAAATGAATTACATGTTGCTACTTGGCAGGAAAATTCCTCTCTCTATCAAGCAGCAAAAGCATTAAGTTTTGAGAAAATCATGTTTTAAATTCTCTGTTCTTCTTCATTCAAGGTCTTATAAAAAATAACTGGAAGTATGTACTTGAAGAACCAATGACAAATGTTCAATTTTCCTTCGCTATTAAAGCAGAGATCATTTTCATATGAAATTAACTTATATCTATATATACCTTTTACATAATTTCTTTAATATTTTTTTACTGCTTGTATGGTATAAATTAAATGAATAATGTACAGTAAAAGTACAAAGTGAGCATAAAGCATGAGTCCACTTTCTTAAGTATCTGCCCCTCACTCTTATAAATAAAGGTCCTTTATTGGCATCTATAGTGACATGAACCTTTCCATTACACATTCTTGATAGTGAAAAAAGTTTTTTTTTTTGTTTTGTTCTTAACACCATGTAAAAACAGTCCAATAAATGTTCACTGAAAGGTTCGAGGAACCAAAAATGGTCTTCTATGGCTAAAACATTTTTATTTATTTTTTATATTAAAGTGTGTGGCCAGTTTCAAAATGGACACTTATTATTTATCATTGTCACAGGACAAATTGACAATCAGAAAGTGAATTACTGTCAAATTATACACAGCAAAAATATCACATCCAGTTTCACATCCACACTCAGGTTCATTACCTCAAATTCTGTTTATTAAACATGTTTTCTCTTCTCTAGAAAAGAAAGAAAAGGAAGGAAGATACGTCTAAAATGTAAAATAAAGCATGCTGTTAGTTTTACTTGATTACTTTATCTGTTAGTTTTAGCAGTCTTACTTTATTAATCTAAATAAAATTAAAACAAAACTCTGGCACAGAAGAACTATAAAACAACATAACATTTAAGACAGACAAACAACTGAACAGAGGATTTAAATACAACGACAAATAAGGAGCTAAATGAAACACAGATGAACACAATGGGTTGCTAAAAAAACAAATGATCACACATTAGGAAACTGTCAAGTTTTAGTGTTTGGTTTAAACATAGGGACAAGGAACACAAAAACTAAACCAAAACTAGAACAAAAACGTCCCATTTACTCCCCCTCAACAAAAGTTGCCTCCTGATGCCATAAACAGAAACAAAGTACATTGGGCAATGGGAGAAAGAGTGCACGGGAGAATGGGAGGAATGAGGGAAAGACCATCATGGGACAAACTAGTTTCCACAACAAAGTTCACGATAAATCTTTTCATCAGGACCTGATAGTTTGAAAGTAGTAATAGTTTACAGATAGTCAAGTCAAAGTTAGTCGCGGACGTGGAGCTCTCAGCATCTTGAAAGATGTTGATCTTCATTCTCGTTCCTCTTTTTGTCTCAAAGTCTGCTTGCCATGGTCCAAAATGTTTGAACAAAACAACAACAGCGTGAGCGTCCTGCCAAGCATAACTGGCATAACCCAGTTGTCCACGTCTGTTGCCATGGTTACGGTGGCAGTATGAGCGGAAACCGATGGTAACGCGGATATGACGCCATTGACCAGACTCCTCACCCCTGCTCACACGCCCCGTTTCCTTGGTTAAAAATCGCAATTTTCTCACGATTTACAAATAATTGGAAACATTGGGGATATTGTAAGTAATCAACTAAACAAAATATAAAACGTTGGCCTGGTGGTTTTTAGATATTTTGCTGCAAAAATCCTACATAGTTTACCTTTAATTTAATGTTGGCATTGCTTATTTTCAAAATGCTTTCTTCCAAATTGCATTTCTATTCATGGGTTTTTGCTATGGCAGAATGCTTTGGACGCTAACAAAATCATTGTTTCATACATATTGAATAAGTTCATATCATTGAATTAATTAAATGTAAAACATTTGATTGTGATTTCAATCATAACTCTCAACAAAAATCTAAAAAGATGAAGGCATAATCTAATACCCCATATGATCTTAATCAAAAATTCCACATTAAACAAAAGCTTGATAGACATCATCTGTGGCACGTTATTTGATAGCCTGAAAATTTCCAGATGCCCATTTTAGGCAGTAGCACCTCAATGCAGCACGAGATCCACGGGGAGGAGTCGGATCAAGATCCAAGGGGTGGAGATGGGTAGGATTAGGGTTGGGTTTAGGGATCAGGGGGCGGAGTTGGGTAGGTTTAGGTGTATGTAAGGTGGGAGGAGTTAGATCTGGATCCGACTCCTCCCCGTGGATTTCATGTTCTGCGGTGAGAACCATCTCATTTTAGGGGGGAAAACCCAAGTAAACCTCAGAAAGATCACCAGTTTCACACTGGAACCATATAAAACACTGGTGGATCTAAACATCACGTTGTTCCACATGCAAAAGTTTAATCTAAGCCAGCAAAATGTCAGAATATTACAACCGCAGCCCTAATTTACCGAGATAACCTAATTTGTAACAGACACATGCACACTAGGAACACAAAGCAGTCTTAAGTCATGTCCAGATAAAAAGTTTTATTGATTTTTATCATTTGTACATGCATATAGATCGACTCGGTAGGGACAAAACGCTTCGGTTTTTTTAAAGTGGTACTCAGTGTTGTTGATTAGGTCTAGGGCACATGGGTGCTTTATGATAAGTGCTCTATAAATAAGTCTTCACTGACAAATCTGTCTCAGTAAACAAGTTGTGCTCGTTTTAAACCTTCACCCACCATTCTGCTAACAGACTTTGTGCAACATTCACATATCGTTTTTTAGTGTTTGCATATCAAGATTGACAGTTTCAAGATATTTAATTGATCCCTGCTTCTTTTTTTTTCTTTTTTTTTGCATGGTGTCCACTGACAATCCACTGATACTGATCACAACAAAAACAGAGATAGTCTTTTGTTGTTCACAAGAGAAATCGCTTCATAATATGTCCTATATAGGATACTTGGTTTTCCATGAGCCCTATGACATATTGATTACTTGTATCTCATAGGGCTGGGATGGAAACAGCAGCACTTACAGGACTGTACCAACAGCATGTGTTACGAGCCTATTTTTCAAAAAAAAAAAAAAAAAAAAACTAAAACGAATCAGCCCTTTAACGACAGCTCTACACACAAATCCTCAAAACTTCACTTCATCTGATAAGGCAGAGGAAAGACCGGTAGCAGCATTTCAGATTTAAAGAGATTCTGCTTATTTATTACGTTATGATTACATTCGATATCTCGTATGGGTTCTACCGATTAAATAGACGTAACCCAAGTCTCTATATTACAAATTGCTTCCGGGTGTCTGTGATTAATGCTACACAAAACAACATGGCAAGCAAACCATCAGCTGGGTGAATCTCACAAAAACACATCCAGGTCACATTTCAAACTAAAATCTAATGGGGGGAAAATAAATACAATTTGTTTTATTTAAATCAGTATTGATTAAAGGCAGTAGAACAGTTACCATGGTATATAACTTCACAATTTAGAAATGTTTTGCATGATTTGCTTAATTTTAACGAAATATGAAAAATGTTAAGTTAAATACATAATGGATATGTTCCTGATAAGTTGCATGAGATTCAAATCATCCAACCACATTAGGAAGAAACTAAAAATCAAGGATGAAAGCTTTGCTTCGCTCGGACTGTGCAGAGGGCCGTACGTTGGAGTGGAATGAGACGCAATTCAAGAGGCAAAAATCTGTTCAAGCTTTACAAAGAGGGCAGAAAATAAGTTCTCTTCATTTGAACATTAATTATAAAACTAAGCAGAGAGTTCAGCCACTCGAATGCTGGCATAACGAGAGCAAAACTACGAGGTTTCGCCATAAATCTAGGCAAACACAAACATCATTCTCTCGTCACACATTCCTTATGGTTAGCACTTCACAGGAGCTTCCACGACAGCGGCGACACGTTTCTTCAAGTACTAAATGTGCCTTCACAGTCACCACGACTCCCCAAACGATGGAAGATGTGGTTCCTGGAAGCGTACCACTTCAGTTTGGGGAGACAGGAACTGATAACAGGAAGGAGAAGCCAAGAGACCGGTCTCAGCTGCGAGGACGCGTTTCGTTTTCGGAAATTCTCTTTTTAGGTATCTAAGGGTCAGATGAAGGGAAGTACAGTGAAGGGTCTCCCTCTGACTCTATTTCCTGTGTTGCAGGTTGTACTTGCACAATTATAAATGTTCATATATCTATAAAGAGGAAAAAAAATCTAAATAAGGTAAAGGGGACATGATATGTCACCCAAAAAAAAAAAACAAATAATCAGTGTTGTGTCCAGAGTGACTGACCTGAGAGAAATTTTTACTGTGCCGGGTCCTCCTCCAGTCCACTCACGTTATGCATGCTGCCATTCTCTCTAAAAGCCAAAATGGGAACCTTCCTCTTCTCTTCTTCCTCATTTTCCACTTCCACTCCATCTCCATCTTGACGGGACAGTTTGTTCGCCATGGGAAGCTCTATGACCTCCTCGAAGGCTTCTGTGACGGCTCCGTTTTCTCTGAGTTGGGCAGTCACACTTGCAATGAAGAAAAAAAGTCACAGATTAGTTTCTCTGATTAAGCATATTGTTAAATTAACTGCTTCTGCTTGTATTTGTAAGTAGCTTTGGATAAAAGTGTTTACTTAATGAATAAATGCAAACAGTTTTCATATAGTCTGTTAATAAATCATCAAAAGCTTATAGACCATTTCACAAGATGTACTGTAAACAACACTGGTCCAGAAGCACTTCCTGTTTCAGTTTTTTAACACTACATAAAAGCTGGGATAAAATACAACCAACAGAACATATAAAACTGAATCAAAAAGTTAAACAAACCTCTTTAGGATGTTTTCTTGACATGTGAAATAAAGAAAACAGTTACAAACTGAAACAGGAAGTGCTTCTGGACCAGTGTTTACATCTTTTGAAATGGTCTATAAAAAAAATAAAGTTGGACTTCCTCCTATCACCAGTAGGGGGCAGGAGAGCTGCAGATCAACATTAGGGTTGCAGAGAAACATTAGTGTCAGACCATTATCTACATTAAATATTGTAGAAAATGGTCCAAAGTGACTGAAATGAGGACGATTCAAAGCAAATTCAATAGTAAACTAGAATAGCATATACCTAATGTACAGTAAGCATCGCAATGTGGGATTTTTCTATTGCTTTCTTAATATAAAGACAAGTGAAGGCATTTATTATAGATAGAGATAGAGATAGATAGATAGATAGATAGATAGATAGAATGACCGATAGAATGATATAGATAGATATTATTTTACTTAACTAAATAATAATACTATTGTATTATTATTGTATAATTAATAAAATAAAAAAATATTTATTATAACTATTATTAATTAACTAACTATCTATTATTATTATTATTATTATTATTATTATTATTAATACATAAACAAAATAATTTAAAAAATGTATTCTATTAAATTTTTGGACAGAATGGGAAATTATGCGTGTTGGAAACTGCAACTGAATATGCGTTCCAAATCACGTTAACTACCAGGTCTCGGCTTTTCATGTTTGTTGTTATGAATAATTATGAAAAAATCTCACCTGTGACCTGATGTGGGCAGTACGGGTGTGATGAAGCTGGGGTCCGAGTGTCCGTTACTGTCACTGCGTTCGGTCTCAGGGGTCTCCGGAGCCTGAGGGGTCGACACACTCACTGAGGGACTGCTGGATACTGAAATCACTGACAAGAGAGAGGGACAGTAATAACGTCAGATTAATGACAAACTCATGAGCCAGAAGAAAAGGTAAGGTCAGAGAGGAAACGCACATGTAAACGTAAAAATAACTATTCACCTGAATCCTGTGCGCTCTGCTGGCTGACATCGCCATTTCTCTGTGGGTTGGCTTTCTTCAAAACACAAAATGTGTAAAACAAAAAGTGTGTTAGCCAGCACTTGGAATGGAAGACAACAACGCTGAAAAAGCAGCAGCAATTGCTTTACATCTTACCTGATCAGATCGGCGTGTGCGTTTCATAATTTCCTCAAGGCGCTGTGACAGACAAGAACACACTCAGCTGACTGTAACATCCTGTAATTACCTTAAGTCACCCAATAAAATGAGCTTGTTTACCTTCTTCCTCTCCATTCTCTCCGCCTCCTCTTTCTGGAAGTGTTTCTCTCTCTCCAGACGCAAACGCTCTGCCTCTTCTCTCTGGCGAGCCTCTTCTTCTTCTTTCTGAACATACAGAGCCACAAAAAACACACTGGCATTTGACATTTTATGTACTAAGCATTATTCAGCATGCACTAACTTTAGAGTTGTCAAATGTTTTTGAGATTAATCAAGTTAAAAATGTTGGTTAGTTCACATTTCAAAAACAGTGGCTTTAGAAAGTGCCAATATATTGTTTGTACACATCTAATTTGACTATATTCATAAGCATTCAAATAATACATATATGCATATTAGAGGCTAATTATATACACATACACGACTTTTTAAATGTTTGTGGTCGGTACATTTTTTTAATGTTTTAATATTATTAAATATTATTACAAAAAAATAACTCTTTTCTATGTGAATATATTGTAAAGTCATTTAATCCTGTGATTTAAGTGATTCCAAATCATTTCTACAGTCTTCAGTGTCACATGATCCTTCATAAATCATTCTAATGTGATGATTTGCTGCTCAAGACAAGAAATATTTCTGGCCATTATCAATATTCAAAACAGCTGTGCTGCTAATTTTTTTCTTTTCTTTTACATTTTTATTCAAAATTCTTTGATTACCAAAGTTCAAAAGAAAATTGAGCATTAATGTGGTTTTTACATTCAAAGAAAAAGAGCATTAATTTGAAACAAACGCATTTACGTACTTTTGGTCAATTTAATGCATCTTAAAAAAAAATAAAATCTTAGTCATGTCCACCAACTTTTGAACAGTAGTGTATATAAAGAAATAAATTCCACCAAAATCAATCAATGTTGAATCCTCTATTTACAGCCCTAATGTTGATATGTTCTCCTAATAAAGCACACTCAATGTGTTGTGCATTTATTTATCGGTTCAGTGTGATTAATGAATGAGATTGTTGTGTGTATATGTTTGTGTACCTGTCTTTGCAGGCGTTCAGCTTCCTCTCTCTCCCTCTGTGTCCTCTCCTCCTCTAATCGCTTCTCCTCCTCCTCTCGTCTCTTCTTCTCTTCTGCCTGCCGCTGCGCCTCCTCCTCTCTCTTGGCTCGCTCCTCTGCCTTCCTCCGGGCCATCTCCTCCCTGCTGCGCCTGCACAGGTACATGATCATTCAAAAGATTCTTTCAACATAAACGAATGTATAGTGCTTTGGTTGTGTTCGGTGTACATTTAGACAACACTGCATTATTTTATGCTTAATCCTAATTTCCTGACCCAGGTGTTTTCTGCAACCCGGTATCAGGAAATTAGGATTGGGGGGTGGGGGGTCCATATTTGATCCATAATTTGCCATAATCCATAATAATCCATATTGTTAGAGTGCAGGTAATACGATCAGGCTTTTTTTTTTGGTGCAAATCAGCAGAAATATTTTTCAAAATGCAGGGCTGTTATTGCAACTAGTTTTAGAGTAGCTTTTATAACAGTACTCATGAAAATCTCTCACACGCACCTTTCAGCCTCTTCCTGCTGTCTCTTCTCCTCCTCTTCTCTTTCTCTCTGTTCTCTTGCCTGCCGTCGTTTCTCAGCAAGCAGACGAGACGCCTCCTCAGGATCTGTTGTGCCTGCAGAGGGCCGTACTGTTGGAGAACTTCCAGAACCTTCTACAAAGGGAAAGAACCAAAGGAATATAATACATGATGCTACTTGATGGTTCATGTATGGTTTCACAGTATTACAGACCAGCAGAAGGCTCCGGTTTAGTTGCAGGAGCCTCTGGTTCAATTTTAGGAGGTTCAACGTCCTCTTTTTTGCCCCCCTCTCGTTCTGGGGTAACTCTCGGGCTCTCTGATGTCACTCTGTTGGGCCTGAGATTGCCTGGCAATAAGGAGGGGTTACTAGGAGACAGTGGAATTGATGCTGGGGGAGGAGGAGACCTGGACTTTTTTGGGGTCTTCTGAGAGGGTTTAGCAGTGGAGCCCCTGAGGAATAAACAACAACAACAAAAAAAACTGAATCAGTGAGGGAAAAGTTTTAGTCCTTTTCATACTTCCCAACAAAACTCACAGCAAAGTTGTGGTCACAAGTTTTTATACTACTATTTTTTGTATACATATATAGAAATAGTAGTACAAATATTTATATATAAAGATACAATATAAATATTAAATATTTAAATTTATTTAATTATAAATTTAAATCTAGAAATAGTAAATACACATTCACATATACATTATATTGAAGAGTTCAGATGCAAAAGCCTCTAAGTGCCATTTGAAATTTTCTTCTAGAGTGATAATTTTTATTAAGCTTGTATATTTAAGTTCAATAATTTCACTTAAATGAAAATTAATAGGTAATCTTCATTGCCATTTAAGTGAAATTACAAACTAATATATATATGAAGAGTTCAGATGCAAAAGCCTCTAAATGCCATTTGAAATTTTCTTCTTTAATGATGATTTTTACTTTTGATGATTTTGATTTTTACACTGAACTTAAATATACAAGCTTGATAAAAATTATCATTCTAGAAGAAAATTTCAAATGGCACTTTGAGGCTTTTGCATCTGAACTCTTCATATATATATATATATATATAATATTTTTATTTATATTATATTTTTATTTATATTATAATTTTATATTTATATTATAAGCTTTAATAATTATACTTAAAAAATGAGTTGAGACATTTCCAGAATTATTTACTTGCTAATGAATAAAATGAGCATGATCTCTAAACCAGTAAGAGAAACTCTAACACCACAGGAAGACTGCTAAATACTGAATTGGTAAATTAAAAGTTATCCATTTTTTCATTCGGTCCAATAAAACTTTGTATATATATATATTTATTTGTTTATTTTTACTTATTTTATTTTTTATGGTAGTAATTATAGAAATCAGAGATTGCTTCTAACGTAGGATGATTATGAAGTTTTGTAATTATTTTAGTTTTTCAACAAAAATCAAAAAAAAAAAAAAAAAAAAAAAGACAAATTTGTGCAAATTTTTCCACAAATTGTCAGTATAACAACTCCTCTTGGTTGTGAAAATGAGATGCACCTTTAGACAGAATGACATACTGAATATACTTTAATTGCTCATCTTATAAATAGGGTTGGGTATCGAGAATCGAGTATCGATTGGAACCGGGACGAACTTTTCATTTTTCCCGGAATCGTTCAAAAGTTAAAATTTCGATTCTTAGTTTCGATATTCACAGTCCGCCGAGCGGAAGAAGAAACCGCTGAACAACACCAAGGAAGAAGCGTCTACCGGAAGTGTTGGCATAACCGCGCGAGTCGAACATGAGTATCTTACGTCGGCGATCCAAAGTGTGGCTTCACTTTTCTAAAAATAACGAAATCTCGGCAAAATGCTAAATTTGTTACAAAAGGAGTATTTCCTTCAGAAAGGATTATTTCCTTCAGAAATACCATTGGTTAGCAAGGTTAGCTAAACTTTTTTGACCCTGCCTCTTAAAAGAATCGGAATCGAGAATCGTTAGGAACCGGAATCGAAACAAGGAATCGGAATCAGAATCGTTCAAATTCGAACGATACCCAACCCTACTTATAAATGGTGCTTATACCTGTTGGGGGATGGATTGGTGACCCTGCTGCGATGACTGACAGGAGAGGGAGATCTCCTGGGTGTGAACAGGCTCAGACTGGGAGTGGGATATGACAGGTTACTCCATGACTTCCTCACATTGTCCTTATCCTTCCTGTCAATCTATACACAGAGGCATGAAACAGATCTTTCAAGAGTACTTCCATACTAAATCATACAAAGATCAACATGTTGCAATTGTCCTACACAGACTCTTCAAGCATAGGGCACAAAACAATTCAAGCACATATTTACACCAATACCATACCAGGGTATTCTGGGTGGTCTTTCTGCGAGAGCTGCCGTCCGAAGGGATGAACCCTGCTCTGATTGGTCTCTCAAAATTAAGGCCTGCTTTGACTGGTCGCTCGGCGCTGCGTGACTGGATGGACTTGAAGGACATGGAGCTCATTGGGTGACAGGAGGCTGAGCGAGGACAAACGGGGGTCACTGTACCACGATCAAGTTTAACCAACCAGGGTGTATTATGAGATAATTCAATTGATCCATTATGGACAAGAGGAGCGACAGGGAGGAAGACGCAGAAAAGAAAAAGTTAAAAAGGGATGAATGAGTGGTGGAAAAGTGGAAAGGGAAGAAGAAGAAAGTGTGTATTAGTATCTACAAAGCTCTAGACAGAAATTAGGCAATGCTGATCATCACTGATGGAGGATAATCTGAGAGCATGTTTGTAATGGCACACTACCATAAAATTTGAATTATGTATACTGTTTAATTTGTGCATTTACTTTGTCTAAATGTGAACTTAAATTGGAATAAAACTGCAAAATAACATTTTTAATTCCTGAACTGGACGTCACACAATTGATTAGGTTGACGACAACGTTGCATACTTTGTTTTTGCACTGCGAATTATAAAAACAGCAGGCAGTGAAAAGTATGCCCAGGCCCAGCATGCAGTAGGGTAGTATTTCATTCTGAATGCAGACAATTCAATTCCTCATAGTCAAATGATGATGCAGTTGCCCATGTTAGAAGCCTTTAATTTAATCAGTTGAAAACAGAATCCCCAAACAATTAGCAAGAAAAAAGAGAACATATAGATACACACAAGAGATTCGCATCAGCTCTATTTGTGCACACACGTTTTAGATTCAGAGAGCAGTAACTGGGCAAAGCTGTTGCAGAGAGAAGTCTTTTTGTTTTAAGACAGGGCTGGGCTCTTGCCAGAAAACAGCTTACAGTTCTCCAATACTCTTTCTTTGTAAATGTTTTCACACAAAACATCTTGAAGTTCAGCTTGGAAATGCATCTTGTCAAGCTATGAGCTTCTCATACTTTCTAGCTATTCTATCTAAACGTTTAGTTAATAACACTGAAGCTATATACGTTTTTTAGAAGCATAACAGTCACAAAAAGTATATAGTATAGCTTTTATATGACAAAAAACAATGTATTTTATAATATTTTTCTCTTTTTTAGTCACACCTCATCAAAACTTGTCAGAAGATGGCTTGAAAAGCTATACTATTTTTAAAACATATATGCTTCTGAAAAACATGGTTAAATAAGAAACAATTCCAACTCAACACTGGTCAGGTCTGACTGAACGCTTCACTAGCTAGGGTGTAAAATTAACACTTGCCACCAGACAAATGCAGGCACTTTTTGTGCAGTGTCAAGTCATTTTGCTTAAGTACCAACCAAACATGGCAGAAAACCGGTAAGATGCCTCTTAGTAGAGCCAGACCGATATATCGGCCGATAGGCATTTTCCAAAATATCAGTATCGGCATTATAATGGCAGATAAATGAATATTTAAAAAATAAAATAAAAACGGGCGAAACACGCTTCAATCATCTCTTCTTGGCCTGTTATATTGAAAATGTATGTTTTACAATTTGCAGTATGATGTTATCTATTGCTAAATTATGGCTCATCATAGACTAGCTAACCACAAAGCTAGCTAATGCCACTATCATCAGTGGAAGACCGCTAATGTTAACATTAATGAGCTTGGAAACAACAATGAACTTTTTCTGCCTAAATAAAGTAATGATTACTGTATTTATAACTAGCATATCTCTAGTTACAGTCCCTGCATTGTAAAATGCAAGTTATACTTGCGAGGAGTGAACATTTAGACATAGAGAAAAAGTATCAAACGTATCTTGTGCAGAAAAGTTAGCTTTTCTTTTACACGTGTGTGAAATCCAACAATATTTAACAATAAAAAAAAAAATATCGGCCGATATATCGGAATATCGGATTTTAAAACCCAAAAATATTTGTATCGGTATCGGCCTTCAAAATCCTTTATCGGTCGGGCTCTACCTCTTAGCTTAACATTTAACAAGAATTTAAAGCAACACACGCACAATTCAATTTCAGGTTTGTAGCATGTTATTTTATACTTTTGAATTGAACAAAAAATAAAAAGGTTGCTGGTTAAATTGGCCATTCACTAACTGAAAAGTTAATTTCCCACCCTATCTGTGACCAACATGAACATTAAAATTGTATTAGATTGTTTCATACTGTGCATGTGTTTGTGTTTTACCTGCTTCTCCAGACAAAGACATGGCGCTGCGACTCCTGGCCAAGTAGGAGTGTGTTGGTGTCTGTAGTCGAGTGATCATTGTATTCTCCCATGTGGTAAGAGGCATCCGACGCGTACCTGGACAGCACACACACATGCAATTCTCAACTAAAGTCCTAAATAAGCAGCTTAAACATGCAAAAGTAAAGCACTTGACAGACATGAATCCCATCACATGCATTCATAACTTCATATTAAAAGAATAGGTTGCCCATTTGCATCATCTGCTGGTGACAGAGAATCATGCATGTTTTAAAATGTTTTGAGTCAAGTGAGACCAACCAATCAAGGAAAAGCAGAGCTAGTTACCCTAAACATAACCACCAGTAGTAAGACAACATGAAACTAGAAAAAAAAAAAACACCCCATTTAATTTCTAAATGAAATAATATTTCAGGGTGGGACTTCATTTTATCCATCATGATTTGACTGGATTATGAAAAGTCAGCTATAAAATCAATATTATTTTGACCACTGTGATTGCACATGGCCACAAAAAAACTTAAGTCCAATACTACATTAAATTCATGAAAACAAATGGTTTCTATAAAATAACATGCACGGATTGATTGTGCACAATAATATATATATATATATTTTTTTTTAATAAATCTGTTTTGTTTTCATGTTGTCTTTAAAAAAAAGTTGTATGGAAAAAACATGCAAGAACTAAATGTCAAAAACAATATACAGTCAAATGCCAGTGAAGCCCTCAAATAAAGCATGCAGCAGTGAACACACACAGTACAAGTTTCCCCCCATTATTTTTATAGCTTTATTGATCGCTAATGTATAAACCCTTTAAAACATACACAAACTTGAACATGCAATGATGCTGGAAGAGACTGCATGACTCAGGGCTCAAGACTAAAAACGACAAATTACAGAATTGCATAATTATAGATTTGCTATTTTGTTTAGAAGCACTTGGTCATGCTTACAAGTGCAACGTTGAGTAAAAACTCAAACATTTTCTCCATATATCATAACTTACGATGTATACGATAACTTAAACATTTAAAGACAAGCTTATTGTGAGTTCAGAGGTTATTAATCTTTGTTAAAAGCATACACATACATACGTTTCAGTATACTTAAATGATATTGTTTCTGTAGGTATAATCAATAACTTTGAATATTTTTTATATCTCAGCATTACTTTTAATTCGATTAAATCATTTGCAATGCTTCATGGGATCCTTTACACATTGTTATCTTTGCTGTTTTGTCCGAACATCAAATACTTTTTTGCTACAAATTAAAGATTTTAATGTTTAATGCGAAGCGTGAGCACTATTGTCCTCTATGGTAGTGCCTAGATTGAAACAGAATTAACATCATGTTAAATTCAAGTCACATATCCAAAAAAGGTTCTGTAATTTGTCGCTAATGATATTTTATTTTTAACAGTTCATTCATGCTTGTCCCTTCATTTATGATCAGTTACTTTGCAGTCTGAAGCCCTGGGTAGCAGAGGTTTGAACCCATAAAAGAGTGAAAAAGACTTCTGGATTTCTAAAATCCACCTGCTGGTTTGTCCTGAGGGATCTTCTCTCTGGATATTTGGGATTTAGATAGCGTTTTTTTAATCAAGCAAGATGAGGAGAGAGATGTCCGCTTCTGTAAGGCTTAGACGGTACAGCAAAATCACACAAAAACACATGCACAAAAAATATCAATTATGGGTCAATTCAAAACGGTGATCCTTGGTAAATTATCTAAAAAAGGGACTTGTTTGGCTGTGAGATTGTGTAAAGATCGTTTACCTCTATCTGGGGAATTCAGCAAGGTGGCCGAGGAAGATGACAGGCGTTTGGAAATTACTGGATCTGTGTGTTTGGACAGATTCATAGTGGAGACTGACCTTCTGTCAGCATCTACAAACACACAGACAAAAAAAATACAACATGAGATGCAAAACTTAATAGCGTAATACAGAAAAATGCACTGAAGCAACGACTAACAAAAGAAGTGCATTAGAGACTTTACTAAGACCTTTTCTACTGGCCTGGGTAATAGGCTTGCAGCAGCTAATGGATGCTAACTTTTAAGAGCTAATTATGAGGAAAAGTGCTTAGCTACGTGTACTAAAAGACTAATGAGGATGACCGCACTTTATCACAACCTGCCTTTATGTGTCCATAATGGACAGACACATTGATGACTTTAAAACTAAAAGGATATCTGTGATCTAATATTGATATTACCTGATTTTAAAGGGGTCATATCATGGAAAATAGGATGTTTCTTGCTCAAGGACTTGCTCAAAGACTAGTTAAAGGTTTGGACACACCTGAAATGTTCCTCACAATATATTTTTTTAAGTGATCTAAAGGCTTATGCTTTAATACTTGAAGTTTGTTTTGTATACAAACTCTTAAAAAGTGGACTATAAGCAAAAAATGTGACAAAGAGATACATGTCCCCCTTTAAAACAGACAAAACTACAAAATGGCTACGAGTCATCTAAAACACAACTGTTTTTGGCTCCATGCTAACTGCTTATGGGAAAGGAAACTAATCATTTATAGGTGATGCTACGAGTTCTAGCTAATAGTGCTAGTAGGCTGCTCTACACTGCCGGTCATATTCACATTTAGAGCGAAACTGCTGCTGACGCGTGAAGCTGAAAACACCATGATAGTGCTCCAGCCCAGCTAGATCCAATGAAAAGAGAGCAGAATCATCAAAACCTGCGAGAGAGAGAGAGAGAGAGAGGGGAAGGAAGTGAAAGGAAGAGGGAAGAAGAGAAATGCAGAACCATACATTGAGAGAGTGAGAGAGATATTGATGAACAGAAAATAAAGGAAAAAAGGGGGTGTGCAGTGAGCTCATGGCTCTGAGTCAGCAAACGTGAGCAGAGAATAAAATAAATGTGCTATTTTGCATACATAAATATATTCAATTTATATTTAAACACTATATAAAGGCACTAATATTAGAAAATATTAGTTAAAAATCTGAAAACAAGGCTAAAGGGAGCTTGCAATTAACCGTAGTATGTTTTCTACACATCCTGAATCATTGTGTGCACGTGTGTGTTTACCGCTGTTGTGTGACGTGCTAGCGGAGAGCGTTCCGCCCCAGCTCCAGCGGTTCGCCTTCGGCCTGGCTCTCTGACCCCTCTCCATGGTCCTCCTGATAACAGCCTCATACCGGGCCTGAAACACACAAGGACATTTTTCTTTCCAGAGAGCATTTTATTGGATCATATATTATTGGGATCTTTTTACAAGATGTATGCTATTAGTTTGCTTTTATTATTCCCTGTAGTATTACAATAATAAAGAAAGGGTCTCTGTATGCCTTCACAGTGATGACAATGTATTGGTTCTCAAGCACTATTAAAGGGGTCCAATTATCCCCTGTGAAGTTTTGATTTTATTTTTGATGGGTACTAGAATATGCTGACATGCTTGACTGTTCAACAAACACATTATTTTTCACGTATTGTACATTACAGCACCTCTCTCCCCAGTCTGGTTCGAACACGCTGATTTAGATAAAGCCCGTCCTTCCGAAATAAAAAATGTGCTGTGATTGGTTAGCTGGCCAGGTGTGTTGTGATTGGCACAGTTTAGCATGTGTTCAGAAAAGGTCCATAACTCCATGACTGCGAGTTCTGCTCTAGTGTAAATATTAAAGGATAGCGGCAATTTCAATCCAATTCGAGCCTGATTCAGACCCTGACAACGTTAATGAACAAGAGGATTGTGCAAAACGGATTTCACAGTATGTCAATTTTAACCACTCGAAGTTGTCTTCAGCCTTAGGAAGATCAAACAAATGATATTTGGAAAAGGGATTGAAAAAAAAGGATCTCATAAGACATAGCAGCAGCTCAACCAGGGCTCGTCCCCTTTTTGGCGTATTCTGTGGGCGGGGATTATTTAAATGAGGAACATTGTGAATTCATAAAGCCAAGAAAAAACACGGTAAAATTCTGTAAAAATAAAATATCTCCATTATATGGAGATGACTTTTAGCTTTGTAACCTTGCAGTTTTGTTTATGCTCAAACAGCAACATTAACACTAACTAAAGTTGAAAAAGCATAATAAAAGATAAAAATGCTATTCAGAAATGTTACGTTTACTTGCATTACAACAGGCTTCGATACTGTAAGATGGCCTTCAAATATAGTTGTTGTCAAACAGGGGCTTGGAGTCAAAACTGTTGAGAACCACAGATGTAATTGTGCTTTAATAATGACTGATGAGATTTATAAAGATAAATAATGAAAACCAAATGTATAGGGAGTGAATATATACAAACAGCTGAATAAATTCAAGTTCAGTGAAGGGTTTTCCCCGATGTCCTCACCTTCTCCTCCTCCAGTTTCTGCCGTCGTTTCTCCTCCACAGCAGCTCGTCTCCTCTCCTCTTTCACCCGCTGCTCCTCCATCCTTTTCCTGCGCTCCTCCAGCTGTCTCTCATGAAACTGTCGGGCTCTCTCCTCTCTCTCCAACCACTTGGACCCTCGTGCAGCTACAAACACACACAGAGTGAATTCCCTTAGTCAAGTCGTGGATTATTTGCTGACCCTATAACATATACTCCAAATTCAGATACAGATTCAGACTTATAATATAATTTCAACTCTAACACAACTTTTCCAGTGTAACTTAAGGTCTGGACATCACAATTTTAACATTGTCATGACTACTGGAATAAATAGATATCTATATGTGGGAATACCCTACCAAATATGTTCTGTCCGTGGATAAGGATCCCTGATCATGTAAGATCAACCAGTCATATTCGACATTTGCAAAGAGGCTGTCAATAAAGGACAGGGCAACAAAACTATATTGGACCTCAAAACCTGTAAGAATTACTAATTTCACAGACATTAGCAGATAACAAGTCTTTAAAGAGATAGTTCACCCAAAAATGTGAAATCTGTTATCATTTAAGCTTGCTGCTGTAGTCGCTCACCACCCCATTGTCATTTACTTGTATCTTTTCTAATAGAAATAACAAACATTTTAGGCTAGTCACAATGCCCCTGAATTTTTGAGATACCCCCTAATGGAGGTAGAACTAAACCCAACAGTGTTTTTCCTCATCTCTAAGGTCTCTCTTGGCTAAAAATATTTTACTGTTAAGATTGTTAAATTAACAGATATTGATATACACCCCAAAACCAAAAAAGGACTAAAATATAGCTTGTCTGTATGGGCGCAGATCAATCACACAAGCTCTGAGAGCTTTGAAACTTGGCATCTTTGTTGTCAGGAAGTTGCTTTTACTACTAGAAAAGACTGAATGTGAATATCTTGATGTATGGAATAAATAGAGACATATAAACACATACCTAAAATAAGCGGACAGGCTCAAATTGAATATCTATGAAGAATGGAAATGAAGAATCGCCAGGGATTATCATAGAAACACATGATGGCTTACTGGAAAGGTGGGGTTATGCTGAATCCAGCAATACCAAATATGTAAATATGTATAGCACGACAAATCAGAGTGCCCTGTCAATCAATGTATGAGATGTGTCAGTGTAAGTAAAAGCCTAAATTAACTTGAATCATATGGATTCATTTTATGATCTAAGTTTTGGCTGCCTGGACTTTCAATGGAGAGACAAAATTTCAGTTTTCATTAAAAATATCTCAATTAGTGTTTCAAAGATTAACCAAAGTCTTATGGGTTTGGAAAGACAAGATGGTGAGTAAATGGTGACAGAATTTTTATTTTCAGGTCACTATCACTTTAAATGCAAAGTTTAATGCTAAAGCTGTAAGAGATGGTGGAATAAATAAGAAAGGCAGATGTTAATAGTCAACATTGTGGATTATCAATTTCATTTGCAACCAAGCACTCCAGTAATCAAAAGCGAGCCAAATTAATCTGTCAATCTCTCTCTGGCCTCTCTGTCTTGGCCTATAACCCCTTACATAAAAACTGGGTGTCCTGGAAACAACCTTGCCAAGAGTTTACAAAACAACTGCATCTCGCCACAGCAACCTGCCCCTCAAGTTAGTCATGCAGTTACAAACAGGGAAAACAGACAGACACAAGAAAGAGAGGAAAAAAAGTGCAAGAAGGGAACCCCTGAGCTTTACATGTTGAAGGTTTCATTTGACAAATTCACATGATTTACAATTCCAACAACTCACAGAAATAACAAGAACATGTGAACATGTGACTGCTTTTATACTAAACTAATCACTCATTAAGACTCTCATTAGGACTGAGTGAGTCTCTGATCAAAGGTCAGTTCAACAGCATGAAATCAAAACTGAACCCATGTACATCTTAATAACCGGCCCGTTCTTAGGATGCATTCGAGTCAAGTCAGCAAATGTAATACCTATGTTAAAGAATATGTAACTAAAGCTAATTGATGTTATTGAGTTTAAGTTTTAGCATGGATTGTATTGGTTGTTTTTTACATTTTGTGTACTGTAACTGTGGATGAAGCTTGCTAGAAAGCACAACTCATTTATATTATTTATGAGATTACAGTCTGGCATGACTAAACTACATTTCCCATCATGCTCCGATGCAAAACAAGAATTGTAAAAAGCAAAGCATCACTTACATACCAAACATGCATCCTTTGTATCTGTTTAGTATGTAGTACCTCAAAAAAGTGTCTTTGTTAAGAAGTTAAAAAGAGAAATTAATCACAGTAAACAAAGCATAACATTCAAATGCCAAAAAATAATCTTATTTTCTAATAAGCCCCATTCACCTAATTTAACATACTTTTTAGTTGTTCAAAAAGGCTTTCATTTTTGTTGCACCTTCTACTTGGAAAAGACTTAAACTACAGTGTCTAATTTCCTTAAATGATTTATTTTAAAGGCTATGTTAAAACTACAGAACATGAGTCCATCCACACATGCAAATGTTTTAATTAATGGCACTTTTATTTAAATTGAAACGTACTTGAGTTGTCTTTTGCCTCTTTTGTGTTTGTTTTGTCTAATTTGTTCTGCTATTTAGGCCAGGTCTCATCTCAAGGACACAAACCTGGTTAAATAAAAAATACTGCTTCATTCTGAAATGTGTCACGTTAAATGTGTTGCAAAGGCACTCTGACATTGTCTTTAATAACAATGTGCGTGTTTGTCATACCAATCTGCTTCTCCAGCTCCTCCCTCCGTTCACGTGCGAGTCTCTGCCTTTCATCGATCTTCTGCATGAGAGGCTCTGCAAACACAAGCACACATGCTGGATGAGTTCAGGAAGTAAAGCTGGGAGATGATAACAGTAGTGCACAGGCATTGTGTGTGTGTGACCTGGTCTGGTAATGATGTGCGTCTCGGTCGGGCTGGGAATGGTGTAGGTGTACTGTCCCGAGGCAGATGAGTCCGGGCGACTCCATGATGAAGACTTCTCATCTGCTCTGAGAAGGTAGTCAGAGCCTGAATGACACCGATAGAGGGAAGGGGGAAACCCAAACTGTTTATTAATCAGAGAATTGAAAATAATAAACTTGATTTGATTATTTTTTTAAACATCTAGGTATATAGCTGTCGACTGTATTGGTGCTCTTAAAACATCATATAATTTAAAAAGGGGATGTAACAGGAATATAAACCATTTATTCATATTAAATAAATCGTATTAAATAATTTTTAATCAATGATAAATTATACAAAATAAATACATTTTTATATTAATAATAATCTTAATGAATATTACATTAATTTTAATATATTTATATAGTTTTTAGATTTAAAATTATGAAACAAAAATATATTAAATTAATATTATAATTGTATTAAAATAATACAATATTTTATATATCTCAAATATTTTAAAATGCTAAACATTTACGATATATATATTAGAACTTTCACAAACATACCTTGATTTCATTAAGTTAACATGCCAACCACAGAGAGAGAACCAATATTTATATACAGGTGTAAACAAACACATACTAGTCTCATATAAAATGTATTTTTTATTTGCACAGTGATATACACATGACAGAGTGTTAAAGAAGTTGCAAAAAGTCAAAGTTGCTTGCTCTACATCTTGTTGATTTACCAACTCACACACTCTTTAAGGAAGTGACAGCAAGAAAGTTTATGACCTAACAGATTTCAGCTTGAAAATTAACCCTTGTGCTGCATTAGATTTTTAACACCGTTGAGTGCATTAAGGACCAAAAATGGCCACATATTAAACATTGCCTAAAATATTATATATTATTATTATTTTCCACTTTTACCAAGTTAAATCTTTTAATCAGCATCAGTCCTCATCATAACTACCAAAAATGTATTCAATTTCAGGATTTTAACCCTTTAATTACCAGTTTTGTTTGCGAAACCATCGATTTGTATAAGAGGAAAAAACACAAAAATTCAATTATTTTCAATAAACTAAATGTAAAGAGAAAACTTTAGATTTGGATTATCACAGTCCCACTTTGCAAAAAATCCCACTTAGCGCATTAGAGACCAAAAATGGCCACCTATTAAACATTTCCTATTTGCCTAAAATAAGGTGCATTTCCACCCATATGGAATAAATATGTAGTGACGTCATCTGGTGGAATACACTATATAATGCAAATATAATGCTTTTGCTTCAAAATGAATGGATGTTTGTGCAAAAATCATGTTTCATGTATTACTGACAGCCTCAGATTTAAACAACGTTTTAATGGGTTTCAATGGGCCATTTTTGGTCTTTATGGTGCTGAGTGTTACTATTTGATCTACACAGTGTGTGTTATACATATTTTGCAAAATGGGATCAAATTTTTTACATGTATCCAAAAAGTCACAATTTTGCCAAATTTCATACCATTTGCATTAAAACAGCCAAAATGGTCAAAGAAATTAAACTGCAAAAGACCAAAAATGTCCCTAATGCAGCATAAGGGTTAAACAATTCCTTGAAAACAGATGACAAATAGGTGTATGAATCCATGGGTGAACATAAAATATATGGCTTGAGATGTTTAACAGTGTTACTATAATCAAGTCTCTACATCTGCAAGCATCATGTGATCTGTGACAGATACTGAAGCAAACAGCACATCAGAATCAGCAATCTGGTTAAACTGTTATTGATTCCTACACTGAAACCAATCAATCTCCTGCTGTCATCTCACACACCAATCAATAATAGTTATGTCTTTTGTTAAACATTATGCTTGTTTAATCCAAACGTATAATGCAGAAATTGCAGGCACAATGTCCCGTTGAGGTTATGCATCTGAATAATATCCCAAATAATGCTTTCAAGCAACCGTGAGATCAAAACATCGAACACGTCATCAGACTGCTGTAAAGAAGAAAAAAAAAAGAAAAGTATTGCCATCCTTTACATGACATCACCCACATAATAGCACGTATTATGGCTCCCACAAATACTGATCTTTAAAGAGTGCTACCCATAATTCCACTGTGGGGGAGGAGGGGATAAACAAGCTATGGGCAGATGGCGCGTCTAGACGAGGGGGGAATGGATAAAGGACAAAAACAATCACAACATGCAAAGACATAAATCACTGCCTTTTAGCAAAAGTCATTGAAGACTCATGCAAAAACAAAAACACCCTATTCTACATAATACACAGGCAAACATGAACCGAAGAGTTTGACAAAAATGGGATTTACTGTAGAATATGGAATGAATGTCACAGAATTTGGCAAATTTTGGAATAATAAATTAAAAGTAGGGTTGAACAATTAATCGAAATCGTCATCTGTGAATATTAAACCGCAAAAAGCTATTTAAAAATGGATGTTTCGTAGGGGTGCAACGATCAGGACCCACGGTTGGTTCTTCACGGCACGCATGTGATTCGCAGATTAACTGCTGAGTTTAATCATCATAGATAGTTATCCATCAACTATCATTTGGACGTGTTTTTTCTTGCCAATTTACACGTTCAAACGATTTTAAATACAGAAGAAGAGGCAAAAATCAGGACTTGTGCACTGTTATCTCACACACATTTGAAACGCGCGCACACAGACATAAAGATGCGTTTCAGACAGCACTCAGACACCATGATTCCTCTTTCACGCTTATTAGCACGTAAACGGATACATTTACACAAAATGACGTCAAAATACCCATCTCGACATGTATTCTCAGAAGTGAACGTTTGAGAGATGAATTGAGTTTATGGAAATGTACAATGTAAAAAAATGAATTATTCATATTTTATATAAATTATATATTTTCAAAAGCTGGGTTACTTTAAAACTGCAGAAAAAAAAAAAAAAAAAAAAAATCAAAGCCAAAAATCTGAACAAGTTGTGTTTAAACTTTTAGGTTGATATCTCAAAAAATGAGCTTTCAGTGAGATTTTGTTTTGGCGCAATACCGAACGCTTCCACTAGGGCACAACCAGACTCCATTACTGCCCATATAAGGGCGCATCCATTTCCATATGTGTTTAGAGTGATCTGAACCATCATTTACACAATTTTCATACAATTTATGAAGTAGAGAACCTATTCAGAAGTAGTATGGGAAGTTTGGCAGATTTTGATATGAACTCAGCCTCTAAGATACACATACAAAGATATACAACATGCATGTGCGTTATATCTTCCTGCCACATCACAAATTGTGATTTTTTTTCCTCTTTATATTTATAACATTTTCAGACCTTTTTTTCTAAAATAATTGAATGGATGCAATCATTTGAATTCTTGACATGAAAACACAACACTTTTCATGATTTTTCATGTTCATTGCCATTTCAAAATAAAAGTCTGAACGTGCTTTATGAGTATGAAAATATTCTTGTTGCGAATTGATAAATTACAACTCGTGTGATTTATTTTGAAAATCAGTCACCAAATATGGAAACTAGTGATTGTAAGCTTTCAAAATATATATAGTTTGTCAATATTACTTAAGGTCTTTTCTAAGATATTATTGTTTTACAAACATAATGGCAAATGTCCCACCAGTGGGACGGTGATAGTTGATAATTTTTGAACTTTATTAGTTAGGCTAGGAGTGTTTGCTGTGGATTCAAAGTACTTAAAGTGAGCTTTAAGTAATAAATGTATAGGAAAGTTACCCACGCCCTTTTTTTGTTTTTTTCTGATCCGAAAAATGCTTGATCCGTAACTCAAAACTGTGAGTTTTGTGATCTGTTGCACCACTAATGCTCTCTAATGTGTCTCTGAATTCATGAACTGCCTACACATGCAGCTTGTTATGCGTTGGAGCAGAGCTATCGAGATATTATCCGATCTATTTCTGTGTGCGATCTCTGAGGAGGTGACGGCCGTCACTTGCTCTAGATTTCAGGACAATGTTGCTCCTGATTTATCCCAGGCCAAACTCCATCCGACCCAATTTACCCACTTACCAAAAATGCAAGATATCAGATATCGCCTTTCTGAGACAAACAATGGGCAACGTCTCAAATGATTACTGAGGGCAATTTCTGAAATCATTATATTCCAGAAAAAGGGGCATTGATGAAATTCTTCATGGTTTCATATTTCAGTCAGTCAGAATAACCTCAGTTTCTACCAGCCCTGAACACACACACTTCAATACTACAGTAATACAACCTAATCTAGTCATCAGTTCTCTACTGAGACTTATTAAAACACAGAATTCAGGTTTATAAATCCCCAAGAGAATGTAAAGCCAAAAAATTACTCATTACTTGTCGGTGAGGGAGACCCAGTGGCGTTTAACCTAGAAAATACCTGACAGTGAATCATAAGCCCAGATGCCAATGAGATATGGACACTTTATGCTCCAGCATATTGTGCTGTGCTACTTGGAAAAAGTCAATCCTAAACATATCCTGCATCGCTGCACCTTGAATGGTTTGATCTTTGTTAAATAAACGCCTCTAACGGAAGGCTGAAATCATCCGATATGTGCACCATCTAAACAAACCTCAAGCTATTGTGGCGGTGAAACTTTAACATGACACCTGTGGGGTGTGTTTGTGTGAACACCTGATTTTGCCTTCATATCTTTCACTTGACCCATAGCATTTACTCAAATGCCCAAGGGGTGCAAAAACAATCAAATCTCACAACAAAGTCAATGTTATCTAGTCTATACATGACAAAAGATGCTGCATAGTTACAATACCATCACAGATCTTTCCTCTCGAGATTAGACACAAAATGCATGAACTGAACCACTGCAAGCAGGTTTTAGACTTTCCTTTTTGCATTTTCTCTCCATTCCTGCACAGAACATACCAGCTCATGAAACTTTGGTCTGAGGCCCAAGCCTGATTAGCTTACTAATCTGTGTCCTGAATGCAGGGCTGGGCTGAACAGGCTGGTTAACTATGTATTGACGGCAGAACATAATAAACAGGACGATACGGAGACACCATCTAAAGCATTAATGAAATCATCATCTTGAGGTAGTTACACAAACATTTGAACAATTGTTTAGACCACAAATATCAAGAATGCTAATCAAGATATGACGGCATACAGGCTTTTAAGGGTGGTATATTTGCATACCGTAATATAAACAAAATGCCAAATCTCAAGGGTCATATGAACTAACAACACTTCTTGGACTTTGACTTACAGGCTTTGTTTAGCTAGTTAGCATCTTGGCGGTTATATCACTAATGATCAAAAGTTTTAGATTGGTTTTAAATTTTTATGTTTTTAAAAGAAGTCTCTTCTGGTTTTCTATGTGAATATATAGTGAAGTGCAATTTAATCCTGTGATCAAAGCTGAATTTACAGCATCATTACTCCAGTCTTCAGTGTCACATGATCCAACAGAAAGTTTTATAATATGATGCTCAAGAAACATTTATGATTATTATCCATGTTGAAAAAAGTTTTTTACATTTTTATTTCAGGATTCTTTGATGAATAGAAAGTTCAAAATAATTGACCTGAAATGGAAAGCTTTTGTAACATTAATCACTACCATTCAAAAGTTTGGGGTCAGTAAGAATTTATTTTTTATTTTTGGGGGAAAGAAATTAGAAAATACTTTTATTCATCAAGGATGAGTTAAATTGATCAAAAGTTACAGTAAAGACATTTCTAATGTTAGAAAAGATTATATTTTAAATAAATGCTGTTCTTTTGAACTTTCAATTCATCATAGAATTTTGGGGGGGAAAATGGTACACGACTGTTTTCAACATTGAAAATAATAATTTGTTTTTTGAGCATAAAATCAGCATATTAGAATGATTTCTGAAGGATCATGTGACACTGAAAACTAATGTGTAATCAGCAACAGTAATGATGTTGAAAATTCAGCTTTCAAATTACATTTTTAAAATATATTAAAATAGAAAACAGTCATTTTAAATTGTCATAATATTTCACAATATTACAGTTTGTCATTTTTTTTTATCATCAAATAAAGCAGCCTTGGTGAGCAGAAGAGACTTCATTTAAAAACATAAAAAAATCTTAGTGATCTAAAACTTTTGACCGGTAGTGTATAAGACACAAAGTAACAGCCTAATTATTCACATTTATAAATAGAATATAGAATCTATAACATATAGAATGCCGAAATGTAGACTATGTAGTAGAAGTAGGATTTAAGGAAACGTTCTCCATTCAGGCTCTCTGATAATCAAATAAGAAGAGAACGATAGCTATGCAAACTAAAACACAAATACAGGAACACATCCGGTGTGACACTCTTATTTTCTTCTCCTGTCAATGTTCATCTTGCCTCTTCTGTGAAAGGTTTCCATGCCAGTGTGTGCAGTGAAGCAGAACTGCAGAGTGAAGCTGAGGTCTGAAGATAAAGCATCAGATAAATACTACGTAAATCAAGAGCCTGCTTTTGTTACACAAGGAGGGGAGGAAGAGAAAGAAATAGCTACCTGTTAAAACCGAACGTTTGTTTACCAGCTTACTACACAATGTTGTGTGTGCTGTAAAACAAGGAAAACATCCCAATTTGCACACAATCCATCCGAAATATCTGAGATTAGGATCACAAATAACAGCGTGCTGAACGTAGCATTGCAAAGGTATATGGCGTCCAGGAGCGTCTCCCAGTTGTTAGACGATACGACTTTAAGGGCAAAGGTCAGAGTTAAGTCTGTCGCTGAACTTGAGTTCACTTGTTTGTGAGCAGACAGACTCTGACAACAAAGGCAACCAGTACAACATGTCTTCTAGTCAGCACATATTTAATCCGGGTAAATGGCAAACAACTTCATGTTTTAGCTCATTTTAAATATTTTACTTAAACATTAATCATTTTTTAAGTTATATCGTATACTGTATAATTATAGGGCTGGGCGATATGGCCAAAAAATATCTCTGTATTTATTTGGTTGAATGGAGGTATGTGGTATATACATCTCTGTATTTTAAAATGTTTCTACTTGGATTAAAAATGTTTAATTTATTTATTTATTTTATTTTATATCCTGCCCAAAGTTGTACAAACAATGTATATTTTGAAGGCTAAATATAGTAAACCATGTAGGCTCTGGTATATTATGAGAAAAAAATCGCATTACATTGTTTATGCGTTGATTTTAGTTTTAAATTCACTACTTTAAAAACAAAAGTAAATACAATCAAAAGCACAGATGAATTAACCTGCATTTGATCACACCAGTACAATAGTCACATTAGAGTTAGTGCTATCATAAAAATACACTTACTTGTAGGTTTAAAATTCAACATATGGCACATTTATTGTCCAACAAGAAATATTTTAGCAGTATATATATTTATTTTGCTCCTATCCTACTGCGCTCCGTCTGTTTGGCGTGCGCACATCTGTTAGAGCATCAAGCCGCGTTTAAACTATATGCATTATATCTCACCAGTTATTTTAAAGCCCTTAATATAAAGCATGGCTCATGTTTAGGACAAATTGGATGATGCACTTTCCCCACATCAGCTATTTTTTCAGAGGCGCTATTTATAGTAAGGACACAGTAGAGTACGTTTCAGCCTCCACTCTCTATCGTCGTTGGTAGAGTTAAAAGTTGTAAAGACTACCAAATTTAACAAAACAATATAAATGCTAAAATTAGAATTCATGAATATGTAACAGTATTCACGGTATAGCAAAATCCATATCATGGCACAGCATAATACCAGTAGTCCCGTTCATAGTCACGTTTTTTGACAAAACACACTATTCCAGATCCTGCACAATGTTGTCCTTCAAAAAAACATGCCAACTGAATGCTATGAAAACATATAGTGAATATACACAGGGGTTTATAGCACAGAGGACCTCTCCTCTGAAAACTTAAATTATTTTTGAATGCAAAACATAACCAAAATATGCATATTTTAAATAAAAAGCATTCTAAAAATGGGTTTCTGAAATTATATTGTGAAATTAAATAAATATATATATATATATATAAATATATAAAATAAATAAATTTCACAATTACATAAAAATAGCCAATTGTCATTCATGCTTGCCTAGCCTAGCCTTTATATTTTAGGAAGAGTTTCATATTCGGAGGATCTTGGCATTAAAAAGCTTAAACCCCTGCTCTAGGAAATGGTGAACTGCACATCACTGACAGCTCTTACCTTGAATTTCACTCATGGTTTTGGAGAATTTTGGAGAAGCCCATGCAAAACTCGTCTACATTGCCAAGGACGAAATCCTAATCCATCACATCAGACCCAAAACTTCACACACACACACACACACACACAAAAGTCCAAAGGACGCGACATCCATCACAGGCTGACGAAAATGTGTGTGCTGATTCATTGACAAATAAAAGAGAGGACAATGTGATGGAGACTTTCACAACACCCCTTCAATCTGAGACTGATCAAGAGGAGACAGTAGATGAGCATGTAAAAGTGAGATTACAAATCACAATTGTGTGTGATTGCTGTGTGTGCAGTGCAGAAAAAAAATATGCAAGATTAAAGAGAGAGAGAGAGAGAGAGAGAGATCAGCGGTTAGTGTGCAATTCTCCACATGGCACCAGATACGTGTGTGTGTGTGTGTGTATCGGAGCGGGAAGGCTCAGAGATCTGAGCAGCTTAGCAGTGGCTAATGCTAAGCTTACAGAGAGAGAAAGAGAGCCTTACCCTAACAAACCAGCACAAGACAACTCAGAAAGAACGCAATTTAACACTATTTGTTATTCCAGAGCGTGTGTGACAAGACAACATCTGCGGGATTTTAAGCCACCAAACATTCAGGCCTCTCAGTTATGACTCGTCAAACATTGTGAAATTAGTCTTTTTGAGTTGGATTTCGACATGGGGATCAATAAAGTAGACCTATTAACATTTGAATCTTACGTTGAATGCAGTTTTTCTCTCAGCAAGTGATCCACGAGCAGCTTAGACACATTTAGTGCACTGACTAGATTTACTGCCCTTCCTCCCCTGCTAAACAACAGGGTGCTAGTTTATCCAGTGAACACTTTGGGAATTGAACAAGAGAGAATCCATAGCACTAACAGTACAGAATAAGGCTGTGTTAACATTCAGTATTTGGGGTTAAGCACTGCATATTAACAAGTGTGATTCTAGAAATGTCCTGTACAACAACAACACTTCAAAGGGAACCAAACGATTCTAGGTGCAAATGAGAGTTTCAGTGCAAACTGCTCTAAGGGCTTGAAACGATTTCAGACGATGAATAAGGGTCTTATCAAGCGAAACGATCGATCATTTAAAAAAGTTTAAGTTTTATAAGCACAAATGCTCGCCTTGCTCTGTTCTGTGATAAGCGTTCGTGACTAGAGCCAGATCGACATATCGGCCGGCCGATCTTTCCAAAATATTGGTATCGGCATTATAATGGCCGATAAATGAATATTTAAAAAATAAAATAAAAACGGATGAAACGCGCTTCAATCATCTCTCCTTGGCCTGTTATATTGAAAATGTATGTTTTACAATTTGCAGTATGATGTTATCTATTGCTAAATTATGGCTCATCATAGACTAGCTAACCACAAAGCTACTGTAGCTAATGCCACTATCATCAGTGGAAGACCGCTAACGTTAACATTAATGAGCTTGGAAACCACAATGAACTTTTTCTGCTTAAATAAAGTAATGATTACTGTATTTATAACTAGCATCTCTAGTTACAGTCCCTGCATAAGTTATACTTGCGAGGAGTGAACATTTAGACATAGAGAAAAAGTATCAACTGTATATTGTGCAGAAAAGTTAGCTTTTCTTTTACACGTGTGTGAAATCCAACAATATTTCATAAAAAAAAAAATATCGGATTTTAAAACCCAAAAATATTTGTATCGTATCGGCCTTCAAAATCCTTTATCGGTCGGGCTCTATTTGTGACTCTCCTGTTCGAACTCGTTTATCAAAATGAACGAATCTTTTTTCGAGTTATGACTCGAAGGGTCCTCGATAAGACCCTTATTTATCACCTGGTGTCGTTTAAAGCTGCACTGAAACTCTCATTCGGACCTTGAACCGTTTGGTTCCCAATGAAGTCCATTATATGGAGAAAATCCTGGAATGTTTTCATCAAAAACCTTAATTTCTTTTCAACTGAAAAAAGAAAGACATGGGCATCTTGGATGACACTGGGGTGAGTAAATTATCAGCAAAAGATTTTTTTAAAAGTGAACTACTCCTTTAATTATTACTGTGGACAATGGGGGGTGGGGGCTTGGAGACAAAAGCTTTGAGTCACTCACTAGCAACAGAAGCATTAGCTCCAGTGAGGCAGCAGTGCTTTGAGATCGAAAGGATTTTTGACCCAGCTGAGTCTTGTGACCAAAATCTGAGCATGTGAAGAGTCATTCCTCATAGGTTGAAGAGCAAACAACCACATGCACTTGTGTTAGATGTACATTTTAAATGTGAGGTGGTTTAGGCTAATTGTCATTAGAAAGCTTCCATACGTGATTCTTCTATGAAAGAGATCTGTGATTTCAGATCTAGAAATGTAAATATTGAATACTGGCATTAATCTACACCCCTAATTATTACATACAGCTTTTAGTCTCAGTCTGAATGTTATCCACCTTTATGTTGAGGCTTCCAGTCAGCAAACCGAGCCACTGTTTACATTCCTCCAACCGGTGGTCATGTGACCCACCCACAGCCGACATCCAGTCCAACTTGACAGTCATCTGCCACTGTGGCGACAATGGGTGTGGCAAAACAGCCACACCTTACAAAAAAAAGAGAGCAAAAATCTTTTCCTGCTCACTCAGTCGAAGTGGTGCTGAAACGCTAAGTGTTTTTCGCCTCTTCAGTGTAATAAATATGATGCTAGCACTCACCATAGACTGACATCACTTTCTGTACTCTGTACTCACAAAACTGACAATGATATTTGTGTATGTGCACAGATACTAACAGAAATTAGCTTACAAGGACACTAAAAAAATAATATTAACTAAGTAAAGCAAACATTTAAAAATGTAGCATTTTTTGTATTTAGGTCAAACGCATGAGTGGTTAAGAGCAAAGGGTGCGTCTCAATCTCAAAGCCTTGTGAGCTGCCTAACTAGAGTGCCATTTTAAGCTTCACATCTTTGATGTCCAAAACTGCCGTCTCTGCTGGTAGCTCACTTAGTTTTGACACACAGCCATAGATGACTAAACAAATTGCTATTAAAGGCCACACTTTAATTAAGCACATGAATCAGGGCATTAAATGAGGTTGCCCTGAATTCTCAAAATATTTAGAATAGTATGCACTTTGGTTTTCATCAAGATTTATAAAGAACAAAAATATTTTACATGATTTTAAATCACCATTTAGTTTTGTTTTTTTGCACTTTTACAATAGTGACAAGTAAATTTAAAAGATATATTCCCTGTAGTCTCTCAAAATAACTTAAGCAACAAATGTATGTACTATAATTTATCATAATAACTTTAAGCATAATCAAATTCACACATGATCTTTAACCCTTGAACTTCAATGCCGTTATCTGATCCTACCAACCAGTTCAAAGTCAAAAATACAACTTTTAAGAACAACAAAAGCTGATATCAATACATGCAAACAAACCCTCTTAATAGGCCAATTATTAGCTAGGCACCGCTGAGATCAAAACCCCAGAGACTTACATCAGCTTTTTTAATCTTTCCTATCCTGACCTCCCACATACCTCCTCCTTTCCTGCGTCTTTTGCGACTGCGCTGTCCCTCCTCTTCCTCAGCGATGGTGGAGAGAGATGGGATAGCCGACCTACAAGCCCCCCTTCTCATCCTGAGGGGGGCCGGCATTCTCCCCTCTTCTCCTCTGTGTCTCTCTCTCAGTACTCAGTGATGCTAAGAGCTAACACCCCACACATCTCCTCTGAATCTTCTCAGATAATACAGCATGCGATGGGAAGAGTGACAGACACAGTAAAAGCTGCAAGCGGCAAGAGGGATGAGCCAAAACTCTTCCAGTCCAGCCCAGTTTACTGACGCTCCTGTAATCCACAGAAACGGCCGGCTCTCTTCCTCCTTAAGCCTGAGAGACACGACTGCTCTAGTTGCTGATGCTGATGCTGCCACTATCTCTCTACAGGTCTGTCTTGCTCTCTCTCGCCCTCTCTCTTGCTCTCTCTCAGGCCCTTATAGAGAAAGTAACACAGACTGACAAATGCACTGAAACACTGCCTTACACACGCACACAGCTCTCTGTTTCCTACTGAAATATTCAGTATGAAGACCAGCAAGGTGATCCAGCGGATTAACGGACACCGTGACAGCTAAAGCACGGCACGCAGAATAGTAAAGGTACTCCGAACGGGATTTTTTGGGTCCAATCAATGATCACCAAAATAAAAAATAAGCCAATTATTCTTAATCTTAATAGTTGAGACTATCAGTCAAAATCTGATTTTTGTGCATATCCGATTGAAATCCGATCAGAATGAGCTAATAAAATAAATAAATTATATATATCTGCAAATTGGAGCTAATTTGAAAGCGAAACTAAAATGCGCGCATGTCCACGGGTGCAGAGCGAGCAGAACAGAGCGTTCATTACATACATAGGAATTAGAGCCAGACCGATTTATCGGCAGGCCGATATTAGGCCGTGTGTCCACCAAAGCGTTTTTCCACGCCCCTGGCGCATGTTTTCAATTGTTTTCAATGGGAGCGCCGCGTTTTTTAAACGCCATGAGCGTATCGAGGCACTGAACGTTTTTTTCACGCTGAAGCGCCGAGCGCCCGACGTTTTTTACTGGTCGCTGGGAGTTGAAAAATGTTCAACTTTGGATAAAACGCAGCGCTCATCACTGTCACATTTTACCCAGCCGTCCAATCACAGTGGAGGAGGGGCGGGACTAAACCACACCGACCAACTGTCACAACATTCAAACTGCTGCGGTTTTTCTGTATCATAGCAACGAAACGTCTCAACGGAAAAAACGCTGCGCTGCCAAAACACTCTCAAGCGCCCAAAGCACGGCGTCTTCAGCAGAGCGTCTAGCGTTTTCAGCTGGCTAAAAATGCTTTGGTGGACACACGGCCTTAGGCATTTTCCAAACAATCGGTATCGGCAGTTATAATGGCCAATAAATATGAATATTTAAAAAATAAAATAAAAATGGACGAAACACGCTTCAACCATTTAATGAGTGTGGGAGTTGTATAGTTTGTCCACCAGAGGGCACTCTACACCGTCCCTGTTGGCAACACGCGCCACACATCCTGCAACCCGCTGATCCAGGTTGCAGGTTGCTTATAAGGCAATGTAGAGACTTATTATTATTTCATTTATCAGAACGTTAATATATTTTGATATTCCTCTGTTCTGTTGTGACAATAAAAGAATCAAGTTTTTTTT